ATTCCTGAGATACCTTGCGCTAATTTGCCAAGTATGACAGAAATTTACTGTTAGAGTGTTGTACAAAACAAGGTTAGGAAAGTGTTATCTTCCCATGGTCAATTCTAGATGATATTTTACAAATGTGTATTATGCCAGTAGAGAGATGTCCTGGTTTCCATTATTTTTAAATATTTCGTTCTGCTTCCAGTTATCACTTCATTTTTGGAGGAATTACCTCTTTTTACGGGCGCGTGTGGCGCAGTGGAAGGAGACACCCTGCAACACACGTGGATTCGACCTCGCGTTCATGGCCCCAAATCTTCCATCCCTCCGAAGTCGGCAAAATGGTACCAGACTTGTCTGGGAGGATAGCAGCACTAACTCGATACATCGGTACCCACCACTAGTCATTGTACAGGCCAGATATGCCATCACTCACCTCCAAACGATGCTTAATGAAGTCGAATGCATGGAGCAGGGTCAGGAGCTGTATCCTTATTATTATCTCTTTTTGCCGTGGGTGGATATCTCGAAGGATGTGCTGTGGTAGTAACGATTCTTCTGTATTTCCACTTTTAAATGGGGCGGTCGATCACCTTTTTACCTTTAAATCTTCCGCATCCTTTTCACTCCCGAACATTGTCGTAAAATGAAATTCGAATTCTTTACGACCATTAGTCAGGACGTCGTTTGCTGTTTTGTAAGTTAACGATGACCATTTTTCGGTTAGGCGGTGAGCTGTCGCAAAATGAGGTCGTTTCAACTCGTAGTCGTTTGCTCGGCTCCTCCAAGTTTAAGTTTAACATCGTAATGTTCCATTTCTTTTCTCTGTTCTACTCACCATTAGTAACGTAAGTTTTAACCGTTCCTGCAGTAACAAAATAACACTCTTTTTTGTTGGATACTAAAATTTCCCTAAGGCCTCTGTGACGTTAGGAACTGCCATTCATCATACATAAAAGTTTTTTACAAATGAAACTGTGATGTTAAGTAAGGAATAAAGGATAATGCTTTCGGCGTTGATCAATCCCTGTGGGATGCGCCATGCATTCAACATCAGTCAGGGTGACCAACCGATATATTGGGTCAATGCTGCTATCCTCCTAGACAGGTTTGGTATCAATTTACCGACCCCGAACGCCCATGTGTGTTGCAGGGTGCCTGTAACCATTGCGCTATATGCACCACACGATGTTAAATGCTGCAAGTATTTGCTGTCTTTCTTCTCACCTTTCCTAGTCCTTATGGTATTTTTCCTAATTTTGCTAGTTTTTCCTTTCTGCGAGATTCGAGTGACTAATATGAGAGCTTAGGAATTCTGCACCAAAATATCACTTTTTTTGAACCATTTTTTCTTCAATCATTCCGAATTTCCTAGAAATGTGCTACACTAGGAATAAAAAACACCTAGAGACTCTGCTGAGCTAATAGCTAGCCTTCGCTTTACTTCGCTTTTTCTTATCATCCAAATCTTCTCATATGGAAGTGTTTCAGTTCTGTGCATTCTGTACAATTCCAATTTCCACACCGTGCTAAAATCCCACTGAAATCTTCGTCCACTGTTCAAAACCCGTCCCACATTCCTCCCTCATTCTGCATTCGCCATCCAGCGGAACAACCGATAACGATAATTTTTATTCATCATGTTGTTCGTTAACATCGTCGTTCGCGGACGTAAATACGGCCTTAACGGCATCGATGACCATCTTCACTACTCTCTTCATCAATGACATTCCTGTGCCCTTTCCATGTCTCTGACTCATTTCAATAGTAGTTGCTTCTTTCATAGCCGATTTTTTTTCGCAGTTTATCGGCTTGTTTTTTGCCTGAAAAAAGAACATGTGGCTTCTAAGAGGATTTCATGCTGGTGGGTTCCAACACAAGAGAAAACGTACATAAAATTTGGTGCATGAAACTGAAAAAGAAAAAACGGGACAGGCGTAGCGACCAGGCGACCTAAATTCTTGTTTCTTCTATCCTACCATAGATCCGTATTACTTTTTGGAGCATGTCTTTTTGAGCTGAGAATCAAGAAGATTTCATTAGGGAGTAACGAAATTTCAATGTTCTGTCAATGATTGTCCGTCAAGGAAGCTGAAATTATTAGTAGATTGCACTACTTCGTTTGAACTTCAGGAGCATATGAATGTGAATTTGCCTAGAACAACGATTTCGGAGGAATTGGCCAGTGGATGATTGTTAAACAAATTCTTTAGCAGTGAATTGAGCTGTAGGAGATAATGGGTTCGTAGGATGCAAGCACTGTACGAACGACTAAGGACCACCTTCGCTGATCTGCGCCTCTCGCACATAATTTCTTCTGCAGACTTTGAAATATGGAATATTGTTTATTTTTGATTAAATTACTCAACATAACATGTATTGCATTGTGCGGATCCTACCATTTCTTGCATCCGATTCGTTCCCTACCATCCACCATTCAGCATGGCCTTCGTTCTTTTTCTGAGTGTGGGTTCGGCTGCTGCTTGAGGAATTTTTCGTCTTCGTCACGAATATCGCTGAATTGCGGTCCTGCCGATTCTTCCGGGATTTCTGGGATAGCTGCGGCGCAAGAGCGTTTTCCATGTGGATTACAGGGAGTCAACTTCTCCTAGAGAAGTCTGGTGCAGATTTGCAACCCAGTAGGTATGAGGTTTCCTGTAGACTCAGGCGGAGTCGATACACCGCTGGATGGGTTGGACTGTCGCATAATAAATGGGATTACTACATCGCTCCCTACTCCGAGGCTCGTTCCCTGCTTCAGGACTCGTTCATGCATATTTGATTTGATCTTCTCAAGTAGCTTTGGAGGGATAGGCAGCTTCGTTAGTTCCTTTGGTGTTGGATCGAAACAGCGACTTCGTGTGTAGTTTAGGTCATCTCAAATCACTGTGCTGCTCGTGCCCACCATGAAAAATGAAGTATTATGGTCGCTAAAATTTCGCCATTGTTTCAGTACTTGTACAAACACATGAAAAATTACCTTATACAAATACACACCACATCTTTTTCGTACGGAGGTGTTGTGGTCCTTTAAGGTTTGTAGTTTTCAAAATGTTTGTTTTACAGTAGTAGAGACGTCAATACGTCCATTAGTGTATTTATATTTAGAACTATGCTGACAAATGGGAGCTTCTTATTCCTGCTGGTCTTTTAGTCTTAGGAAGTTCATTTCTCTCCTTTAAGAAGTTGTTTCCTTGTTATTTCCTATAATACCTAAGTAAGTAGGATCTTTGCGAACTTCTTCGGTCTTCAAATGAGCTCATCTCAGCAGCGTCCAAAGAGTACATTTCGTATTGTGTGTTTCTCTTCTTCGGGTCACTTTATCTCTTCTTTAGATCTTCCAAGTGATTTGCCGAACGCACGAACAAAACAACTATCCGCACAATACAACCACAACGTTGCTGAGATATTTGCAAAACTCTGGACCGCAGGTGTCTATGGTGGGGAACGAACGCGTTATTGTCCTTTCCGGGGAGTAACGCGTTCACCACCACACCATGCGGGTCCTTTGTTTCGCCTGTCTCTCAGCTATTTCTATCGATCTTTGCCACAGCAATCACCCGTAAGCGGGATTGATCTGGGGCGTCCAAATCAGCATAGAAGCCAGTTAAGCTGCGGCTGTAGTTGAAATCACAATGTTATACCTTTTTATTTTCTGCCTACTATAATTTCGCGGCAGGGTACTAAGCGAAATTATAGTAGGCAGAAAATAAAAAGGTATAACATTATCCGCACAGTAGTTTTTTCATCCTTCCGAATGTAATCTGCCATCTACCGGTAATTTACGGGTTTGTCTTCGTAGTCGCTTACACCTGAAATTTGTTATGAGAATGGTTACGCTTTGCTATTTAAGAAATTATTTTATCATAATTCTTTATGGCTCTTATCGCATTTAGTCTCATCAGTAGTCGAGATAAAAGCCAAGTTCTTATTCATCCCTATGACCCAATAAAGCTATTCAATGGGCTCCGTTTGTTCAGGAGACATGAAGAGTAAAACTTTTTCAGTCAGGACCTTCAGTTTTATTGCTCCTGATAATGAAATAACTATGTGTTGCTTGCCAAGTTTTCCTGAGCGGTGAAACTTCACTCGTGGTAAGGCTTTTAGGTGGATATGATGTATTCAGTCTCGGTTTTAGTGACCCTATTGGTGTAGTAAACTCTAGCTGCACTTCGTATTTTGATACTCGTATGTCACTGATGTAGAGATGAACACTAGGAGAGTTGGCAATACGTACAACTTCTTATACCCTGTTTCTTCGATAAGCTAACACAACATTGTTACCAATATTTATTCGGTTAACGTTTCACATCTTCGTCTTCCTCAGAGGCGATGATCTGAGTCGATGTCCACGATCGTTCGTCTTCTCGATGTGGAGTCTTCGTCGTCGTATCGTGCCGGATCTTCTTTAATGGAACATTTCTTGGATGAAGCGTTCTCATTCAGAGATGCTCTTATATACGGCATTGTTCTTGCTGATAGTCGCGATTGTCCGGTGGTAACAACTTGCTTTTCCCGACAATCAATCCTGCAGAAGTCGGTATCATTATTAACTAGCACAGAGCGTAACAATATCACTGTGAACCGACTTTCATTTAACCTCGGTGTAAATGATCAATCTTTCAATCTACCTTGCTTCACTGATAAACTAACACGAGGTTGTTACCAATGAAACAAGGTGCATTGGTCATTTATACCCAGGTTAATTGAAAGCGAGTTTGGAATAACTTCTTGTATTCACATTTTTTTGGAATTTGATGTTGAATGTTGCAAAGAAACGTGGATAAGGGTTTTGTTGAGCAGCTTACAAAAGAAATTGTCAGCTTTCTGGAACAATCTTTCATATATCGTATCTACTTTTTTGGTTACTTGCTCTTCCTCTTGAAACATTTCTAATCCTTCCTGGAACAGTTTAAGCACCTGCTTCCCTTTTCGTCCTCGAATTTTGCAGTGGAAGCTGTTTTTCTCTAGGTGTCTTAAGAAGTTTTCTTCTTTGCTTGATGAGCTGAAATGTATTACATGCGAAGCTTCACTTCAGATACATCTCCATTCAAATTTGACACTCTTGGACGCCCTTCTTCCTGTACAAGTGCAAATGAAGATGGTGTTATCAACTGAAAATATGGTGATATCAGTCTGACAGTATACCTGGTGTGGCCGTCAAGGCTCTGGCTTTGCTTTGCGCTATCTGATTGCGCTGGTGGTTCGTCATTTCCAGATGGGGTGTCTTCGCGCATATCATTGTCGTTGTTGCTGTTGTTGTTGTTGCGACAGCGCAGTAACACCGCTGGCTGACCAACCGCTTCCTGCGCCACCATCGCCACCCCACCCCCACCCCCACCCATCACGACAACCACGGCAATCCTAGTTTGCATATCCGCCACTCATGCTGGTGTCCTCACATCGTAATACTCGGAACTCTCCAAGGCTTCCTATCGTTTACAATTCGCTGTTGCTTGTTTTTTTTCTCAAATCTCGAATAAATCTTTTGAGGACAAGATTTATTGAATTAACATTTGCTTTCTGTGTTAACTTATGGCATCGGCCTATATTCAGGACCCATGCCTTTAGCCAGCAATCTTAATAGTAGTGCTAATAATAGTCACTGTTAGTAATATCACCTGTTAATCATCGAGTGATTTTAGCGAACACCATTAAACTCTCCACTCGGTCCTATTGTATTTTGAAACCTTTTATTTTTTTCTGCGAAATTAGGCGACGGATAGCACAGTGGTACTTACGTCGGTCATCACGAGCACGGTGTTAGTTCGATTCCCCTTCGTGCTCACCAAGTCTCTCATTCCTCCGGAGACGGGAAATTGGTATCGGCCTTGTTGGGAACAAGAACTACTCTCTGTAGTCCAATTGGGAACGCTCCACCTCGGTTATCTCAGGACTCCAGGAAGAATCGACTCGACCACCATTCTACAACATTCAAGATGAAATGAAAAACTCCTCAAGCAGCAACGAAAGCCACACGTAAAAGTTGGAAGTTTGTGGATAATCGATACGAGGGAAAAAATCAGATGTGAGAAGTGCTGCTATCCGCACAATAGATGTGAGGAGGGGTCACAAAATAAAATAAATAAAAACATTTTTTTACTATATTTGTCAAATAGCTAGACACTGTAACTCGCCGAACTCACCCATGGTAGAATCACAGCCGCTGAATGTATCGTATAGCCCACGCTGAAGTCTTGACCGTGTCCTTGCCAGCCAGCTTTCTGTGTATGCATAGTCATATTTCTTGAGTCCATTTGCATCTGCGAGCATTTTTATGGTTGCCTAATCCCGAGTCACCTGAAGGGGTACCATGTAACCTCACCACCAACCGTCTCGAAATCCCTTGCGTAGAAGAATCCATGGGTCACCGTTTATAACAGAATTATGGGTAATCTTATTTATGTTAGAATTTCGGCTATGAAGCGCTGAAATCCATTTCTGAATAGACATAAAGCTGTGATGTATTATGAATTAAGTTGGTCATGAACGTTCTTCACAATAATGTAAGCATTGTTGGGTTTTACTAATTGCTTTTCAAAAATAAGGTATTGTCTGTCTATTCGCCTTTTGTCCTTGCTCCTGAAATAGTTCTTACCATGATTAAATTCTTCATTATTGAGTCAGTGCGCTGTTCGGGCTGTTGTCGGTGTTGTTCTTCCGTACGCGGGACTGTTGTTTAGTGGGGGCCTATCAGTGCCGTAAGGTCATCGCAGCGACACGGCGACATTCCGACGACAATTCTATCGGGCCTTTGCCACCAGACCGTTCCACAATAGACGCCGCCACACCTCCATCGGTCGCCCTGGACTGAGTTCTGTTCTTTTAACGGAGATTCAAATTCCACGAACTATTTTGCCCTGATCGACATTAATCCAAATATTGACAGTCTTGATCAGTTTTCTTAAATAATCTCTATTGACGCGCCAAATTTTTTAGTTCTCTATTCGTCTGCAAAATTAGAATTATAATTTTACCGTTTAGTGAACGGTAAAGAATAAGTTGTTAGGTGTTCATCAGTCAATTAAAGATTCGCCATGCATCGGACTCCATTCGTCTCGTAATCCCGGAGAGGTGATGAAGTGCATATCTGGCATATAAAATGATTTGCAGCACAGTACCTATGTATGAAGTCAGTTTTGTTATCCTTCTACATAATATAGTACGGATTTTCCGACAACGGAGGGTTTGGGTGTTTAGTTAACTCACATTGCAGGATTGAACCAACGACCCCTATTTGTATTCTCGGGCACGTCTAGCCACAGCTCCGCAAGCGCTACCGTTTAGTATTACGAGGTATTGGAGATTTAATATGGTTACAGTTTCTCCTAGTACACATCACTTCAGCATGAGGTTTTCTATTTTTGTTCTGATGACTTATCGTCGCAGAATGTTGTCACGTTTGCGCAAAAAACGAAATCACGAAATCTGCTTTACAATTCAACTTGGTCTAATTTTCTTTTTCTTCAGAAATATTTCATAAAAGAATAGGAAGTAAGTGGAGCTGTTTGGAGATTGTCTGGTATCTTACTACTATAGTTCTTACAATATTAATGAAACCCGTAGAAAGTAGAGTTGTAACGGAGATAACCCGTACTGCGCAAGTGTACCAGTGACAGGGAGAAAAATGCGGAGGAGAGCCAATCATTGAGCTAGTGCTTATTGGCTGCAGTCTACGTCTTCCATTAGTTGATACAGGCACTAGTGTTCTGTTGTTGAGTGTTCTTTTACTTCTGTCTGGTCTATCAAGCACTAGTGTCTTCTAGACAGATCTGCATGCTTCAAGTTGGATTGAGGAGACGTTCGTTTCTGTTCTCCTGTGAGCAGTCATCGACCACATGCAGTGACATATTGCAGCTCAAACCTGGTTAAACAGACTGTTTCTCTGCTCGGTTTGGAATACTGTGCCAGCTAGTTTTGTTAAATTTGGCTCAAACATGGTATTCCATTCTAAAGTGTGGCGGAAAATGGTTAAATTGGGGTAATTGGAAATGGGAAATGAGTTTGTCTTAAGTGTGCAGTTAAACGATCCGGTAACTTTTACTGTTATGCCAGCAATTTTCCACTTGGTTTAAAACAATTTCTTAAAAACGGACTAAAAGAAAACCGCGTTTCAAACCCGATGTGCTCGGGATGTTTTTGCATTTTGAACCGTGGCCCACATTGCTTTTTGATAACGCTGAACATGCCGCCGCCATGATTCACTCGACGGTTGGACCATAACTCGCAAACAAACAGTTCATTTCGTTCGCTCCATTTTCATTGTCTTAACGAGAAGTGGACATCATCTGTATTAAGAATTTTATCACGCAACTGGACTTATCGACACATTAGAATGTGCTTAGACCCTTTCGACATCGTGTTTCTTCCTAGACTAGTCAGTTTTCATATTTCACTCTTTTCCATACATTTTTTCTTTTCTAGACGTGAGGTCACTTTTAAACTAGGGCTGAGCATATCGGCTATCGTTCTCAAATTTATCGAGTTCCCAAGCCGATAAGTGCTTGCCGGTCGTGGATATCTCAATTTGCTAATGGACTGCATGTTTCGATGATTTTTCCGATCTGGGTGAGTCGCTTGTTGTGTCCGGCCCGTCGCGACATTAAAACGTCCTTGTCTTTATCGTCATCTCAGCAAATCGTTATTACGTCATCTACTCGGTTTATGAGCACATCGACCTACTGTAACTGTGATTATGTCAGTATCGCTGTTTTAAATTTGCATGACTTCTTCAGGGATTGATCGACGCACGCCGAGAGCTTTATCCTTTTATCTTTTTACGACTTCTTTATTTATTTCCTAGTTTTCCTTTTCTTGTTATTTCTTTCTTATACATCTATTTTTGACTGCATATCTTATAATCCTTCTTTCTGTTGGGTGTTTCAAGTCGAAGTCATTCAGAGATAAGACCTACACCGATATATGTAGGCCTTTCAGTTGGTCATCTAATTTATCTATAAAGAAACATGGTGGTTTTGCTTCTAACAGATAAATTATGTAAGAAAGTTCTTGACGCTGGCCACATGAATAGTGCTTCCCAAAAAACCTTGTGGGTCCCGGAAAATTTTTCATTTAGATGTTCTGATGAAACTTTTCCTAAGGTCCTGGGAAGCCGTTCTCATCGTGTTCTCATGTCGATGTACTGGCAATCAAAGGTCGTTGTAGACCGTAGTGATGTATGTTACGCTCCTTCATGGCTACTGCGATTCCTGTAATTGCTTTGCTGATTTCTGGTCTTTCCGATGGAAACGTCAAACTTTTTCCGCCTGGGTGATGCTGTCACTATACATCGCAGTTTGACAACCACGAACATTCTCTAGGCGATAAGTCATTGGGGAGAACACAATTGTTGGACTAAAATCGAGCTATGCTTTCGTTAGGTGCTGTGTGCAATGATTTGAATTGCTGCAAAATATCACACTGAGGTTACAAAACTAATCTCCAAATCCGATCTTTCTCAACTTGACTTTTGGAAATTAAAGAAGTTTCTCGATGCCTCATTTTCTCGTTCAGCAATCGCGAACTTGTTATACAGGATAAATTTGCTTCCATAAAAAAACACATACAGTACAACAGTAGCTGGCGTTTCGGTAGTATTGCCTTCTTCACGTACAGTTTTTTTTACGTGTCTTCCACTGAGGAATAAAAGAAAAGCTGACTACGTACACGAAGAACGGCCCTTAAGAAGGCGATAGTGCCGAAACGTCAGCCACTGTTGTATTATCTGCGTTTTTGAACGGAAGTAAATGTGTGCTATACAACAACCTCGCGATTGCTGAGAAAGAAAACGACGCATTTATAGTCCAGTCCCGAGGTTAATAGAAAGTCGATCCTGGGAACTACTTCTCAGTACTGTTGAACTGTCGGCCTATTTGTCTACAAGGAGTGTGACATTTACCCACATCAAAGTTTATTTAATCTCTGTTTCGTGAACTGAACACTACCTTAGGCATGTTTTTTGCTAGTGAATGACTGCAAAGACTGATGGGTCTGTGGCCAAATAGTACTGCTACACTCTATCGTAGTTGGTTTGCCGTCCCACACCCTCTTTATCATGTGTTCGGGTTTCTATCGCAGCCGTCCTGACAACCTGCATCGATTTGCTTGTTGTAATTTTGTTGGTCACACCTGCTTTGCCAGCCACACGACGTTCGCCTAGTCTCCATGACGTTCCGCCTGCTTCTAGCCGAATTCGGTTTTCCTTTGAAACTGGTAATCGGTGATGAGCTCTTCATTCGTACCAGTAGCACCAAGGGTAGGTTGTCGTACTTTATTTTGAGACTTATTTCTCTTCTATAGTTTTGAACAGCCACTGATTCTAACTAGAGTTTTGCGGATATCTATTCGTAGAGTTTTTCATTTGGCCGCATTCTATCCTATGGTTTCTTTCTCATCTTTCTCACAGCATTTATATTGGTGACCCACAGTGGGCTTCGATGGCTCTTTGGTCGTTTAATCCCAATGGGGCTTGGCCGGTTATATGGTGTCCTCTCACTAGTTGATCAATTAGGAAGTTGTCGACTGTCCACAAACCAATTAGATCGGCAAACGTGTTAAGTTTGAACGACGTTTTAATCTGGTCCGGTATTTGTTACGTATTTCTCATGACGGAATTCTTAGCATTCCTCTTATTTGTTTTAAATGCTCATTTTTTAGAAACGTATCCAGAAATCACTCAATCAGTCCTTATATTTTCTCTTGTAGGCCTTTTTAAGAGTAAAGAGAATCTTTGAAAGCCCTCTCAGTTGAACGTTTTTTATTCTATTGAATCACTTTGGTGGTGAAAGACTTTTATTTAGTAAAGAACTGAAGTTTCTCAAAGTAGAAAACTTTCAAAGGTGGTTTTCTAAACGAATCTTTTTCTAAGCAACGTTTTTTCTCATTCCATACTGCTGTCCATTATTCAGTTTTGGTCTTAGCATCTTGCTATACTGGTTCCCTTTAGTGCTGGTGTTCCAACTCTTCATTGTTGTTCGTTTCTGATTTACACTGTGGAAGCGCTTTACGTGTTCTCTGACCACACTTGTTTCATTTTTCTGGCGCAATTTTTCGCCGATCTGGTTGAGAGTTCGAGGTTTTCTCCTCGTTTTCGCTGTTTGTTTGTTTTCCATGAAACCTGTTAGTGTAGTCCTCGCCAGACCTTAACTAACTCCTCATCCGCTTCAATACTTTTTGGATTCCTTGTAAGATTCTCAATGTTTCGGTAGAAATGTAGTGACGATCATCATCTTCACCAATTTTGATTCCAATGTTAGCAAAAATTTAGCGCTCCAGATATACACAATTTCCGTGGTGGAACTGAAAGGTCATGAGTTGTTTTTGATCTTATCATATGACGTATAGCTCCTTATGCATTCCCTTCCGAGGTTGATAGAATTCTTGTCCCTCCTTTTATTGCGTGCACTTTTCCAGTTCCGGATTTTCCATGTGGGTTTCCCTCGCTCGAGAAGTACGAGGTGCATTACATTTTTCATATAATTTCGCATTATTTTTAACGATTTTAGTGAGGAAGTGGATTCACTACGTATCCTATCCGACTCTATCGAAAGCGGGCGTATAGTGTATTTCTAAAAGGCGACCACGAACCGCCGGTACCCATCGATTTCCCACTCATTAAATGTAGGCGTTTAACTGAATCGCTATTCAAGATAGAATCTGCATTTAGAGATGCGGAGATGGGAACCTTATTTCCTGACTTCCACGTGAGTCTCAGAGGAAGGAGATCGGTTTCACTTCGCGTTCTGTCCCCCATACGCCATCTGGCGGTACGTGAAATTTTGTGAGGTGTCTTGTCCGCTGCATACTTTTTTAATATGGCAGTCGACAGATATTACCACATTGGCAAAAAAGTTATGTTGTTTTGGCAATTAGTGGGAATTTCTTGTCACTAGAATATTTCCCTCCCAACGGTTTACCGCCTCATTGTGGCTGGAAAATGTTCCTGAGTGTCGGACTTCGATGTACAGCGGGGGATTCATCCTCTCGTAGAGTCTCCCAAACTGAGTCCGGCGTTTCCATCAGGAAGGGTTCAAGTATCAAGCAAGTAAGAATATTTCAGGCGTTGTGAACCGGACAGATTACAGGCGAGACTTCACTTAGGGACACGACACATTTCAGAACATCACCGTGCCTTGCTGAACGAAATTTCGAATGTTCAGTTATTTTCTTTTTAAAATACAAGCCTTGCCCCGAGAAAATGTAGAAGAAAGCTTTTCTTGAATTCAGCAATGCAAGAGCTTTTCGGTGGAACCAGACTTGTATCTTGTAGGCAGACATTTGTATATTCTAATGGTTTTTATGTGAATTATTGGGATTTACTGTATAATGAAGTCTGTTGGTTCAAGCTGAGAGCGGCTACTGCTTTCTCATCCTATGACACCACATGAAGTCATGTCATCGTGAATCTGTTAGTAAACCCATAGCGCACTTGCATTGGGAGTAATCACTTTAGTAATTTCTCACCTTTTTCTTTTGTTTTCTACCCTCTTTCTCCGACTCCCTCTCTCTATATATCGTAGTAGTATCTCTTCTGTTTTGCTATTCTTCTGTTTCTTCATTTTTATCACACAGTCCCATATTCATTTATTTGGTCATAATCACTTTAGGCACAACATTCCACCAAAGATAAAACGTAGGGCCGACATTGCTTTAGCATGCTTTGAATTCCACAAAGAGATCTATCTGAAGTATCGAACACAAGTGCTTCCTTTCTTTTAACCTCTTACTATATTTATTAGCGCATTTTTTTATTGTGCGGTAAAGCATGAAGAGATAAACAATGCGTGGTAACAGTTGTTTAACGTAAAGGTAATTTAGCACGTTAGCTATCGTGGCTCTAAAACCAAAATAAATCAAAGCCGATGATTGTCTTTGTTTTCTATTCTTCATGTTCCTGTTTCTGTTAGAATATTCTGATTATCGGCTGGGTGAGAACTACGGCTTCCTGTCTACTTCCGCATGCTTCACAGGAAAAGCCTTCTAATAGACCGGCTGCTGTTTGCACTTCGGCCTACTGTCCAGTCTCTATTCCGACCTCGAAAGCCAACGTCGTTTTCCATAGTGTTTTCTTCCTGTTTCCTGTAAGTGTAGTTTGTATGAAGAGTTGAAAATGTGACTGTAACGTTCCTATTAGAAATTTCGTGATAGAAGGTTTTTTTAGTGTGTTCTTTGCATCCCTCCTCGCACTACCGACATGTAATTTTGGAAGTTGTGTATACAGTAATTTCTACATGGATGTATCCATGGATGTGTGCCTATTTTGTCATGCATGAATTGTTCAATGTATTTCATTAACACATTGACTACGTGCATGCCTTTGTCTATAAGGTGTTTTTTCTATAACTGGCAAAATTGAGGGCTTATGGATTTTTAGCCCTTATAGGAGGTTGCCCTGACTAGAAATATATCCTATATGTTTCTTTCGAAGTCTTTCGAATTCCAATAGAAATAGTATCCTTAGGTTCCGGTTCAGATGACCCTTCTTCGTATGTCGTGCTTGTTCCAGTTGTGTCTTCCTTCATTTCGTCGTCTTATAGTTTTCTTCCACGAGGCTGGTCGGATTCGCGTGTGACGATCTAGGTGCGATTTGAGGATCTGAAAGCTGATTCCAACTGTGAACACAGCTGGTCTACGCTTGCAACGAGCACGTCATTCCATCTTTTTGGTGGTGTACAAGATCTTGAAGTTATTTTGATTTTTTTGGGATACACTCTAAGGTTCTCGTCGTCCATCTATCGTTCTTTCTTCACATTATATTACCGACCTATCCAGTTGATTTAATGAAATGTGTTCCACTAGATCTCGACGAGTGTTCATTCTCCGAAGATATAAAATTCGAAAACCAGCTTGGTACCGGTTCACCTTTGGAAGATATCGCCTTATGTATTTGTTATACCTAGTTTTTGCCGCATAACACAAAACGAGAAGAATCGTTCCTTCAAATAATTAGATGAACACGTTGTAATCAGTAAGTTGTTCAGTGGCAAGAGACTCGGGAGCGATCCACTTCAGTCGTTATCCTTCCATGTAGATGTATAATATGACTTTGTCTCCGCAATTGGTAATTTATCTGCCATTATGTTCATTTAGACTAGGCGTTGTTGTTCGTGGATTGTGTTTTCTCCCGATTAATCCGTTGTCCTATCGTCTTTACAGTTTTGTTGAGCTTGGCAAACACTATCTTTGCTTTCAGAAAGGTGGTAATATATTCGGTAAAACAAATGTCGGACCGAAATCGTCGATCAACTTGTATCCCTTTTTTGTCCAATTCGAATGACTACAGAAATCGCAGACTGTGGCATGACGGATAACGACATTGACGAAACGATATCGTCCTAACGTATTTCTTCAGAAACTGGGATACTGAGTGTTCGACGAGAGAGCCATAACGTCGTTGGACAATTATAGTTGTAGTCAAGCAAGCCTAATTAATATGTGACGTATGAAAATTAATGAATGAAGTGAATTTCCTCGAAGCTTTCTGACATAAGCGCTGCAATTGCTAACATCAATGGTGTAGATCAGACGTATGTTTTCTCTCTTTCTTTAAAGCTTTCGTCAACCTTATTTCGAAGTTTTTGAGTTAAAAATTAGATTCTTTGAAGTCCTCACATTACAGTTCTCTTTTCTGCCGATCTTCAAGAAGTATTCTTGTCTGCTGATTTTTCTCACTGTCTTCCATATTTTGCTTACCTGTGACATTATATGTTGCTTTTATTGAGTCGTTTTCGCTTCTTATTGCAGACGTTTCTGGAGACGAACTCAATAAGTTCGTGCTACTTCTTCTTGGCTGCGCAGTTCAGAGCGACAAGAAGAAAACGTTCGTCAATCGGATCACCAAATTGGAAAAGTGCGTTCAACAAGGGATCGCCAAAGAAATACAGAAGGTACGAAGTACACCTGAAGGATTCGTTGGTTTTCAAAAAAAAAATTTTCTCGTTGTTTTTTAAACATTTTTTCCATCTCCATGAAATTTTTCCTGATTGATCCCGCTGATCAGAAGCACATATAAACTATTTTAAAAAATAACCGCAGATTCGAAGTTTGGATAAGTTGTCGCTGTGGTTCGCTGGCTGATGTCCTTGCCACTTCGCCCTCTTCAGAGTGGTTTTGTTCCATGTGAGACCACACATATGTTGTAACGACAGCTCATACCAACCTCGCATCAGCTTAACTACCGAGTATTTCAAATAAGATTGAAAACATTCTACAACTTTTAGAAAATAAAACTTTTTTCCTTTGTATTTTACACAAATATTGTCATTATTTCCCTCTCCTTTCTCAATGTTATTCGTTCCAGATCACAGAGAGTTCGTCGGTTGTCTTGAGCATCGACTCTTTGGCTCGTTACGACGTCGACGTCCTGGACAACGTGGAGAAGCTCGTCGAGCAACGAGACGCTTACGCACAGACCCTCTTCCAAATGGCCGATCCGGTGCGAAAATTTTCTTCAGGGGAAACTTTCCTATCATTTTCTTCATTAAGAAAAGTCGGAATTGTCACATGTTCAGTAGAAGTCGGTGTTTATTTCATCGTTGATAACATTAAGGTGAATGTGTTCCTTATCAAAAGTGGTTAACATATGCTCATTAGAAAAAAATGAGAATATCTGGAAGCATTTTAAATTGTCTTTTTGTGATAACGGAACCGATTCCTTTAATGATAACAGGTTGATTGACATAACTAGAGACTTAACAGAGCCTCCATGACTTTTCTAAACCGATATGTGTGACGTTAAGGACAAAAAATAGTGTAAACGTAAAAATTACTGCATTGTTCTACCTTCCTTTGCTTTTTTACCTCGTTTTCATTTTTTGCTTTGATGTTTTCTTTCCAAGGTTTCATGCTTTGTTATAAACTTTATGCAGCGTCTTTTCACTTTTAGGAAATTGACAGAGGCGGATGTTCAACTGAAGGCTCGTCAGTGAGTAGCGAGTTCGATCGCTGGCGTAAAACCAATACACGAAATGGTACGTGAAAAAAATCTGGGCTGCGTATTTTAATATCGAAATCACACAGTTATGAGCAGTTTGTTGGTGGGAAATTCATATAATATGAACAGCAGACTTGGGCCTATTGTAAAAAAAAAAGCCGGGCATACTTAGCTGTTTTAATCTATGATGATTAGTCGTGGCACTTCGGAATCTTCTTGTGTGATAAGCTCGAGGATTTCGAATTCTTCCTTCAGTTTTTGTTTTTTTCTTTAGTTCCACACTGCATTCTCCGGTCATATGGCTCGTATAGCGCAGTAGTTAGTAAAGATACTGTACACTTTAAACATGGTTGTTAGCTCAATCTTGTGCAAACGAGATCAATCTTACCACGCTTGTATAGGAGGATAAAAAACACTAACCTGATGGATCGGCACATCCCTGCAAGGCATTGTATATGTGCATTAAATCACCTACTGTTCTGAACGGAATCGAACTCATAGCACATCGCACAAGAATTGATCAACCCTGAACGTTTTATGCCTTTTTGTCCTTTTCTCTCCGTGTTTAGAGAACGTACCTATTTCCCTCCATCCTAGGGCACCGTACGCCGTCACCACCCTACCTCGCTCGTCACTCCACTGTAGAACTTAGCGCTAAGAATGCTGAACTTCGAAAGCTTCGCAAAGAGACGTAAGTTTCCGCCTATGCTTTCCTTTTTCTTACCTGAGGAAAATAAGTAAAGCGGTCGATATTTAGAGAAGACAAAGACGACCGTATAAATGAACTCGCGGACGAGCTACAAGCATCTGAAGCAGAGGTGAGTTGCTAGCCCTTTTCCAGAGAAGAAACGATGACATCGGGATTAACTCTGTCATGATTGTCCAATTTTGGATTGCTAAAACACTGTGTAGAAGATTTTAAGGAGAGGAAATCTCTACATAAACAGAACAAAGTGGAGATTTTTTTTTGTAAAGGATTGCAAAATGATGGGGACAGTATACGGTATGGTCAATAAGTTTCTTTTTCAGGTGAGAAAACTGAAAGAAGAGCGAATCGAATTGGTGAAAGATGCACGAGCCGCAAAGGATCTCAGGGACGAACTGGACTGCGTCCATCAAAAAGTTGGACTCATTTTAGACATTTTCTATAAGAAAACCGTCTTCCATTATTTTTTCGAAGAAAACTATGGGCCGTGTTTTCTATAATTCAGTCCCATTCTTGTTTTAAAAACATTTGTAAAAGCTTATGTTTCGTTTTTATCTTCAAAATAAAACAAAACGCTGAATGGTTTGTTTTCTGATTGTATCAAATTTTTCTCTACAAAGGCGCGTGTGGCGCAGTAGTCGGAGGCACCCTGCAACACACACGTGAAATCGATCCCCGTGCCCATGGCCCACCAAGCCTTGCATCCCTCCGGGATCGGCGAATTGGTACCAAACTTGTTTGGGAGGATAGCAGCACTGGCTCGATACATCGATAGGCCACTGCGAGTCATTGTAAAGGCCAGATATGCATTCAGTCACCTGCATACTATGCTAAATGAACTCGAATGCATAGCGCACCTCTCAGGGACTGATCAATGCCGAGAGCTTTATCCTTTATCCTTTATTCTGTCTATATGATGTCCGTTAACACAAATTCCATATTCTGATGTTCTCTTTCCTTCTTTTCTCTGATAAACCGACTGCATGTTTCATTTTCAGTATTTCTTTAAAGTAGTACCCAAGAGGTTCCTTTAACACTATTTCTAGAATTTTTTTCCCCAGTATTTTTTTTCAATTACAGCTTGGTCGACTGGACAAACTCGAACGAGAGAACTCACTTTTGCATGAAAAACTTGCCAAGCTCGAATATGTCCAGTCTCAACTGGAGGTTAGTTTTGACCGGCTGTGAGCACCTATCCTTTATCGAGGTTCAAAAAAACCCTTCGCTATGTTTTTGCTAAATATTTCGCTCTGAGTGAAGATTTTAAACTGAATATTTTCAGAATCGCATTGGTTTACATAATCATCGATCGTACTGCTTGAACATTTAATATCTTTTTTATTTTGCTATACGGAGGATGCCCTCTGTTGATTGTAGGGCACATTTTTTCAGAAAATGGTTTTCGCTTACCGATTTATTTATTCAATTTATTTGGTTGCAAGTATTAAAACAGTTTAAAGCATTGTGATTTTAACTGCAGCCTCAGGTTAACTGAGTTCAATGCTATGTGGGCTCCCCAGATCAATCCCGTTGACCGGTTATTGCTGATGGCACTGGTGGATAGAATACTAACTGATAGAAATGCAGACCGAGGGCCTCCGTGGCGCACTGTGTAATGCGCGAGCCCCCGGAAAGAGAAATCGTGGCTCGATCTGGGGCGGCGTCCAAGTTTTGCGAATATCTCGACATCATTGTGGTTTATTCCTTATAGTGCCCTGTCGTGAAAATTGTAGCAGGCAGTAAATAAAAAGGTAAACACAATTTTAACTTATTATTTTCTGCCTACTCTTTTTAATGGCAGGTATATTGCGAAATATAACTTCAATGTTGCTGAGATATTTGCAAAACTCCGGACCGCAGGTGCATGCGGTGGGGAACAAACGCGCTATTGTCCTTCCCGGGGAGTAACGCGTTCACCACAACACCATGCGGGTTCTTCGTTTCGCCTGTCTCTCAGCTAGTTCTGTCGATTTTTGCCATAGCACTCACCCGTCAGCGGGATTGATCTGGGGACCCAAATCGGCAACGAACTCAGTTAAACCGTAGTTATAATTACAATTTTAACTTTTTTATTTACTGCCTATTCTTTTTGACGGCAGAATTTTAACTGAGATACAGCGAAACGAAAGACCCGCATGGTGTGGTGGTGAATGCGTTAGCTTCCGGAAAAGGTAATAGCGCGTTCGTTCCCCACCACAAGCACCTGCGGTCCGGAGTTTTGCAAATATCTCATCATCATTGTGGTTGTTTCACACTTAATACCCTGCCATAGAAATTATAATAGGTAGTAAATAAAAAGTTAGCAGTAGGAGAACAGTGGATGAAATCCTAAAGTAATTAATCGAGACAAAAAAGATGTGGGTCTCATTGCTGAGACTTCCAGAAATACATGTGCATTACTGAATCCCTGTAGGAATGATCTTCTTACTGTAATTGGTATAAACTTTATTGTTATTGTTACTTTTGCTTATTTCTTTAGCATCAACGTGCTGATAATTCAACACTGGAAATGTCCATCGAACAGTTAGAAAATGAACTAGAGATGCTTCATCAGGAGAAAAAGGTAACTTACACTTTGATTTATAGAGCATTTGGAAAATTTGCACATTTGAATTTGGATAGCAGTTAACTTGGTTCTTTTCTTTTTGTTCTTTTTCGAAGCTGCTGAACTTGAGCGATCTCGGGCCGTTAACAGAAAATTGTAGCCTCGATTTTGATCGTATGTGTTCGTATGTGCTTTCAGTTTCCCAGCGTCAGGTTTTTTGGAATGGGGGTTCGTTTACTGGAAGCGAATCTCTGTACTGTAGTGTAGCTCGTAGCTTCAAAAAAACTATTATAACTGTTTATACTGGGGAAAGCGCTTCCACTTTGTTCCAGTTCAAAAGATTCCATGGAAGAAAAGCGGTGTAAAAGTTTTAAGAGTTGTAAAGTTCTGCCATTCTAATAGACTAATGATGGAATATATACATTTTTAAACTTCACTGAATGAAATTATCTCATCGCTAACCCTCTCTACTTCAGCTTCACAGTGAGACTCAAACGCGACTAAAAGAGGCTCAGCAAAGTTTGCGATGCCTGCAAACAGACATTAGCGAAGTGGGAGTTTGACTTACTACGATTTTTCAACTAGATACCATTCAAAAACAAAGTTTTTTATTCAGAAGAACTCAAAAATTGAAGAACTTCTTGTGGAACAGTCACGTCTTGAAAGTGAACTAATGTGTTTGAATGGCAAGATTCTTCAGTTGGAAAGGTGAGTTCTAGGGGATTGGTGGGATGAGAGATCATCATTGAATAGGTCCTAGCTTAAAAATTGTAAATTTATAGGAGGAGAATTCAGAAATCAAATAAAAATGGTGCTAATGCTTTGGAATTAGTCCGACGCTGGCCGTAATGAGTTGTTTCGTGCAAAATCGTTTCAATGGAAAAGTTATATCACCACTTTTGATGGCATCCTGGCTCAAAATCCATCCTCCAGTATTTTTTTCGTCCATTTTGCTTCTGTTTCTGTCACCCACGAAAATCGAGAGCCATTCGTTCATTGTCACAGGTTTCTCTGGGTAGGACCAAGGAACTTCTATGCACGATTCTGGAGCTGTTCTTGAAAATAGTTAGGTAACGTTAGTTGTTCAGGCGCAACGAAGATCCAAATCATGTTGCTCATGAGAGTTTCGGCTCACTTGCTGACGAAATGGCCGATACTGAACGAACTGAAGTGGTGCAGTTGAGGTTGGAGAATCGAAAACTGCGCTTACTTCTCGATTCGAGCAATAAGTATGAGCTAAATATTTCTTGGGACGCCTACTGGAACTTTATCTGATCATCTGTTACAGTTCAACGGGACCATCTGAGGAGTTGGAACAGCTTACGGTTAAGCTTGAGCAATGCGAGAAAGACTTTTCCGAGAAGCGGGCTGAGAATGAGCTGATGCAACGACAGCTGCAAAAGCTGGAAGTTACTCTCACACAGCTGAACAACGAAATAATCGAGGTCGTAATAGGCTTTGTTTATACTCACGAGTAGACCACAGTAAACATGTAATTTATCTTAGCAACTTATACAGTACAAAAATACAGAAAAGATTGTTATTATGAATGTTCGCATTGCTGGCGAGATTCTATCCGCTGGAGCAAAAATAAAAGTTTGTTATTTTTTATACTACCCGCCTTCACGTCTTCTTTGTGGATCCCAGAACTTCGATTCGTTTCCTCAGATCCATCGTTCACGAATGTCTTTAAACTTTTACGTGTGACATTGGCTGCTGCTTGAGGATTTTCCTTTCATCTTGAATGTCGTTAAATGCTGGTCGACTCGACTCTCGCTGCAGTCCTGAGACTGCCGTGCTGGAGCGTTCACATTTGGATTGCAGAAAGTGATTTTTTCCTGGGCAGATCTGGTACTAATTTGCTGGTCCCGGAGAGATAAGAAGCTCGGTGAGCCTGGGGCGGGATCGAACTGGAACGGTGTTCATGATGGTCGGCATCACTACCACCGTGCTTTCCGCCACGTTTAAAAAGAGTTTATGGGTTAGAAAACTATTCTTACGTCCGAAAGGGGGGAAGCCTTAAGGGAATCTGCGAATCTAAGAGCACTAAAATTGAAATGAAATCTAGGCTTAAGGAAGGTTTAAGAACGAAAATCGGAAAACATTAATGCTGAAGTTGAAAATTCTTTATATAGGCGCGGAAAAATTCGAAACTTGAAAGTAATTTGTAGAATCTCAAGGGAATAAAGTCTATAGCTAAGGAAGATTTGAGAAGAAAAATTAGAAGATATTTGAGTTAAAAGCCAAGTGATCTAATATTGGCTTTATCCTCTGAACTCATCAGAGAAGGAGGTCTCGATGTTGGCTCTCCTGCTATCGTTATATAAGCCTATTTTTATAAATGTGACTAGTTTAGTTATATTAACAGTAAGAAAAGGGGGCGGATAGCCCAGTGGTAGTGATGTCCGTCATAACGAGCAGGGCGCTAGTTCGGTTCCGCTCCAGGCCAACCAAGCCTGTCATCTCTCCTTGTTCGGCATATTGGTACCGAACTTGTCTGGGAAAAACATCACTTTCTGCAATCCAGTTGGGAACGCTCTAGCCCTGATATCTCAGGGCTTCAGCGAGAATTGCTCGACTAGCATTTTACGACATTCAAGATGAGACAAAAATCCTCAAGCAGTAACCGAAGCCACACGTAAAAGTTGGAATTTTCGTGGACAATGGATGCGAGGAAACGATTCGAATGTGAGAAGTGCTGGGATCCGCACAATAGACATGGACACGGATCAAATAAAATAAATAAATAAGAATATTAGGAGAACAAACTCCTAGCATTAGAAACCAATTAATCATTGCTCTGAAGTGAATCTGAAGGGGAACTATTCTAAGAATCTATGGTCTTTGGTAATTTGTTCTAGTTCTGTAGTAACAGAACTAGCCTAAGGATATTCAGAAACGATCACCAGGGCCTATATTCTATTTGTTCAGGCAGCGAGTGAACGTGAGAAGCTGCGGGCAGAACGTGATGAATCAGTAATGTCGTTAATTGATGCAAGGAAAAAGTTCGCGCAATTTCAAGCCGAGTTCGGTCGTAAATTCGAACATGAGGCTCAGGTTAAGGTACGATGACGATATTCCCGCTTATTCTCGCCACTCATTCTTGCTCTTCTTTGCGACTAAAGAACTATTCGACGTTTCGCTTGGAAGACAACTACGCAATAAGCCAGTTCGATCCCATTGTTTTAATTCTTATTCCCTTGTGAATCTGTAGGCTTTTAAGGTTATCTAGTCTTCACGAGGTTGTTATGAAATTTATATTACGCCGAATGAATATTTACAGTCTTTTGGTTATCCAAATGCAAATGTCACGACAATCCTCGTGTAAGTTTTAAAAGATATTGATTATTCATTCCGTGGTTCTTCCCAACGGTTTACCGCCTCGTCTTGCCTGGGAGGTGTTCCTGGGTGTCGGACTGCGATGTACGGCCGAGGATTCACCTCTGACAGGGTCTCCCAAGCCGAGAAGAAACCTAGCTAGGAGTAAACCAACACCAAGATCCACCACCGTACTGCTATCAAAGTCGCATGGTGGAAAATCTCCCTAGGATCCACAAAAGTGACGATGCCTGTGATGGTGAAGACCTGAGACAGACTTTGGCCAGGTTGACCTCTGGATTCTAGTGAACGACAATGGCAAAGCCAGCAAATCTCCGAAAAAAGGAGATTATGCTGGGGCTCTCACAACCAGTGAGGATGGGCCCTTCAAGTATCAAGTAAGTAAGTATTCCGAAGTTAAGTAATGATCAATTTTGAAAAGTATATCTTTAGACTGTCAATACAGTAATGTGTGTATTGATTGCTGTAAAGCCGTACATAATGAGTCTCATCGGAAAGAGAGATTGTACCTGTGAAAACCTTACAGTTTTCATCATTCCATACCTCATATTTAATATTAGGAACTTTGAGTTTAGTTCTTTAACATTGCAGTTCTTACATTGTAATGAAACTACTGTGTTTAACCGTTCTTACTTTCAGGTGATGGAAGTGGAAACAGAACTGCAAGATGTACGCAGAAAGCTGGATTCAGTTGTAGAAGAGCGAAAACAGATTGAAAAACAGCTTCATCGGGTATGCGAGGAGCAGAAGCAGCTTCGAGTGACAGTTGATAAACTGAGAGAGGAAAAGGAGAATGCAGAAACACAGTGTGCGAACGTCGAACGAGCTCGGCGTAGTGCTGAAATGGAGCGGAACGCTTTACGGGTGATTGATACCGGCTTTTTGATTGACGAACACCTACAATCTTTGCACAGAAAGAACTTCGAAGTACTAGTTTTGAGAAGTTTTCGCATATGCTGATGCTTAGTGTACTTGATTGACGCAAGGAAAAAGTGCAAGCCCTTCGCCGTTTCCTCAATGGTGAGTTCTTTAAGGTCCGATTTGAGAATCTGAATGTGGAATATGAAGAACTGAAAGAACGAGTCGGATGTGCTGAAGACGCTGCACGTCGGCTGGAGTTCGGTGAGCGACGAATTGCGGAGCAGAACGGCCGCATCAGTGACTTGGAGGCTGAAAACCGGACCCTAAAGCAGCAGGTTAGTTCGAATACCATCCTTACCAAAGACAAACCCGAATTCCATCGTCCCGTTATTTAGATGGAGCTTGAGACCCAAAAAACTCAAAGACTCCGTGAAGACCTGGTATCAGAGAAGTCCAAGGGGGCGGAGTTAGTGAGTAGGTTGCGAAGCGTTTGCTCTGCGATTGCGCTCAATGGAGGGAAAATTGAGTCGCGAATGAGTGACAACGAGGTAAGAGATCTATCAGCAGCATCTCTCACCGCTATTAATATGATCTGAATTATTTTAGTTGATCGATTCTATAGATGACGTCATCATGGCGGCTCTGACTACCGCTAAGCGCGAAGCTGATGCGCTGCGGTTGCAGCAACACACGCAAATCGCCGAATTGAATGACTTGAAAAGCGACATCGAAAAGCTGAGGTTGGCCAGAAAGCGGAAATGCAATAACCATTTCAATCAGGAGAAAAGTGGTTTATAATGGAAATAAGGGTCGATAATTGCAAGCAAGGAATTAGTGAACTAAGGCTATTTGACAGACATCGTACACTTTCCTAAACAATCTCGACTTTCTCACATATTCGTTCTGCTGTAAATAACTCCATTTCAATATGTTAAGACCGGCTTTCCTTTGGGGCGCGTGTGGCGCAGTGATTGGAGGCGCCCTGCAATACACATATGAGATCGATCCCAGCGCCGTGGGTCACCAAGTCTTCCATTCCTCTGGGATGGGTAAATTGGTACCAGAGTTGTCTGGGAGGATAGCAGCGCTCGCTCGATAAATCGGTAGACCACCGCGAGTCATTGCACAGGTCAGATATGCATTCAATCACCTCCAGCGATGTCTAATGAAGTCGAATCATGGCGCATCCCTCAGAGGTTGATCATCGCCGAGAGTTCTATCCTTTTATCTTCATGAGTAATCAACACGTTCTATTTTTTCCGTCTTCATCTTCAGAGCCAATTATCCGGGTCGGTTGTCCACATTTGTTCGTCTTCTCGATGTGTTATGCTCTATGCTAGTTGGTAATGATATCGACTTCTGCAAAATGGATTGTCCGGGAAAAACAAGTTGTAATCACAGGATAATTACTATTGTCAACGACCAAAATTCTGTATAACAGAGCGTTGCAAGGTGAGAATGTCCTATTCGAGAAATGGTCCACTGAGGATGATCCTACTCGATGCAAGGACGAAGACGCCGCATTGAGAACTCGAAAAACTGTGGACCATAAACTCGGATCATCGGCTCTGATGAACACAAAGACTCTGAAAGATCTGTCGAATAAAGGTTGTTTATCAAACTCGTGTAAGCTTGTCAAAGAAAGCAGACCATTTAATACTAAAACTTTTACGGTGTGGAGCAGAGTGAAGTTTTTATGCTTGGATAACGTAGAAACTCACGCTGAAGCCATTGTGCTTCCACGACGATCTCAGCTGATAGCAATTGATTCGTCCTAACCCATCTTTCCAATGGTGTGGACACCATTTGAAGTGGGTTTAGAATGTCAACCAATGCCATAGGATTCGCGCTGAAACCACCTTTTTGCTAGAGATGTCATTTGTGGACGGTTTCGATCCTTGATGCGCAGTTTGCTTCGGTTTACTCATCGAAGTGAGTCACTCCAATGGCCTATACTACGTTGTCATTTATTTCTTTTGCGTCTTTACCCGTTCCACGCTTTTTAGTACTGAATACTTTCCAAAATTCTACCAAATTTCCCTTTGATTTGGTGGAAATGTAGCAATGAGTGTTAGTTACACGGGTAACAAAGCGCTCGCCTGACCACCATCTGGGTTTAGCAGATGGCGACCTGTCAACTGTCGGTCAATTTACATACGTAACTAACAGACGTATCATTTCCGGCGATATGCTCTTCATTTTTGAGCTTTAGCTGGCTTTCCTTTAGTTCGAATTGAAGACGCTGTTCACGGCATCACAATAGCGGTACTAGTGGACTTGTACTTATTTTAATAACAGTGGTTTTATCCTTGATACGTTGATACCAGGATTAATGAAATTTTAGCAAGATATTGATTAAAGGACTTGTTAAGAACTCACCTGATCTTTGAAACAATAATTTTAAAACATTTTCTTCTGATTTATATAAAACGGGTGAAATCTTTACTTTTAGAAAAATTCGTTTTTGATTATCAAGACTTTACGCGATTCGTACGAGCACTAAATAGTGGCACTAAAACACTGCAAAATTCTTTTGATTATTATTGCTAAATGACTAACCAGAAGTTTTATACTCATCGTGATTTCTTCGTTATTATCGGAATCTAATGAAAGCAGGTTTCAACACCTCTGGTCAAAGTAGTATAGTACGCACTATAAAAAAGGATGAAGCTCTCGCCGTTGATCGATCTCTGAAGGATGCGCCATGCATTCGACTTCATTAAGCATCGTTTGGAGGCGATTGCATACATATCTGGCCTTTACAATGACTTGCGGTGGCCTGTGTATCGAGCCAGTGCTGCTGTCCTCCTATACAAGTCTGTTACCAATTTACCGATCCCGGAAGAATAGAACGCTTGGTGGTTCATGGGTGCAGTGATCGATTCCACGTGTATGTTGCAGGGCGCCTCCGACCACTGCGCCGCACGCACCCTAAGGGCACAGTATAGTAGCAACAAATGAATTGTATGATCATTCGTAGCGTCAAAATAAGATCTTTCACTTGCTTTAATACCTTCTATTATTTGTTGCTATTATGGTAGTCATGCTGTAATACGATAGTTCAGAAGAAGTGAGAGCGTCTCGTTGAACGAGAGCGATGACCGCGTCCGCGAGCTCTCGAAAGAGAACGTCGCCTTGAAGGAGCAGGTACGGTGGCGTAATGAGGTTGAAAGGTTCTCATCATTTTTTCCTTGGTGTTGTTAGCGTTTTATGTTATGACGGTGTATTTTGTGATGCCGGTCCAGGCTCGACATGTGGTTGAGTCTCGCTTCAGCTTCGCAGCCACATATCTTCCTCTCTTGCCGCAGCAATTGTTAATAAATTCTTTTAATACCTGGATATTATCTTAATTAGGAAACTTCACTTGTTTTCGTCCTCATCTTCTAATGCACGTAGGAGATTTCTAGCTCATCCAGTCATTTGTTTTGGTCTATGAAGAAAAGAAGAGCGGGACTTCAGGTATTTCTCGTACAAGAAAAAGTTCGAGAACAACAAGTGGAAATCGCGGCGAAGAATAGCGAAATCCTTGCAGCGAAGCGTAGAATCGAGGAGCTTAATCGTAATGCTGTGAGTTTATCATTCTTTTACCTCCAATTTTGAAATTTTCTCATTCTCACACTTTACAGTGTAATTCAGTTGCTTCCTAAAACAGTTATTGATCGCCGGTTGGATAACACTAAAAGAAAATGATCACCATTTGTTTATATTGTTGAGCTCACACGAGGTTGTTAGAGATGTTTATTCGGCTAACGTTTCGACGTCTTCGTCTTCATCAGAGCCGACGATCCTTGTCGATAGTACACAGTTCTCGATGTGGCATCTTCGTTTCGCATCGAGCCGGACCTTCCTCAGTTGAGCATCTCGAGTGACACGAACACACCCGCGACGCTCTTTTATACAGGGCGGTTGTTTTTGATATGATTATCAGCTTGATAATCTGTTTTCAAATGATATTCCACCCTGCAGCAGTCGGTATTTTGTAAGCTAGCACATAGCGATTAGCATAAAGAAAGGTTCATTTTCTCTTGCGTATTAAAACTAAACTTCCAACTTAAAGAAAAGGTTCGTTTGCTTTTCCATATTAACAGTAACTTTATGTAAACATCAAGTAACTCGCAGAGATGGGTGGCCGTCGGCTAGTTAACAGGATTCCGATGTTGGACAGATATCCCTTTAACTGGACTTTATGACGGAAACGTCGAAGTCTTAGCGTAGGAGACTGTGTAACAGACCGGACCAGCTCTCGCTGTCCATTAAAGTTCGACGTTGGAAAACCTCTGAGAAACGATAAGACGGTAAATCATTTGGGGAATTGAACGATGTTATGCATTTTATCATTCAACGTAGGCTCAGGCAGATGCAATACGTAGCCATGCTTCCCTTAATGGAAATGTTAAGTTACCTCTGAGGAATTGCTAAGCCATATTCCGAAGTTGGCTGACTGTGTTGCTTAATCTTAACAGGACTTTGACAAATTCAAGGGCAACTTAAAGGCTTCATTTATTCATGGAAACGCAGAAATTGACTTAAAAATTTTGTTGTAATGCTTTTGCGATACGATGTTTTCCTGTATTTTCTTCATATTCACTATCTAGTGACTGCGTGATAGAGTCAATTGTGGCAAAGGTTTAGGCTACAGAATATGGTGAAGTACTTGGCACTTAGTGGTGTAACACATTCTCTTAGATCAGCAGCACGATTTCCTTCGTATTCTTCTTGACGATATGTACACCGGAAACTGTGCCGGGGGGCGAGAAAACTGCTCTAGTGTGCTCCGTTGGGCTGGACCAACATAGATATCTGGAATCCTGTAGCGTTGACGAGTGCTGTTCTATGTGGAACTTCGGCAGCCGTCGAATTCGATATCTCGTCGCTGTCGGCTGTAATAATCTATGCAGATCAGCAGGAAGCATCTGGCGTGGCTTGAATGTGCACGTTATACGTCGCTCTCTGCAAATTTTCAACTTGTGGTGAAGTTAGTACTTTATGGAAGTTACTTTTCCTATTGTTTCCTTTTCGTTGACGTCGACGTAACATATCCCTCGTTACCATATAAAGTTAGTAAACTGCTTTCTTTTCGTTATTTTATGAACCTCACTATAAAAGATTTGGTCCATCTTGTAGAACTCTTAAAAAAGGACTGGCATTTGCAGAGTGTTAAAGAATATCATCTGAATTAAAATACATGAAAAAGCTCTTTCGGCGAAATTTCATCAGATATTTTTTTCAACGAAAATTATCACCACTGCTGGGGATAAATTTTTTCGAAACAAATATTGGAGTCGGTCATAAAAAAGACCCCATCCGCTTCCACTGCCAGTCGTTGCGAGTCGTGAACCTCTTACCTACATGGAACGAAGCAATGCGAAGACAAAAAGAAATCTGGTCTCAGAACTTCCAAGACCGTTTTCTGATTTTTATCACTTCATATACCTATGATAGGATGATATCCGGTTCGTTTGAAGACATAGAGTTTCGGTTATTGGGAGGCACATACGAAACACAAAGAGACATATTACATTTTCTGAGGTTTTCTCTATTGCTTCCTTTTTCTATGATTTTCCTAGAAGAACATTTCTTCTGTAATGCGATGCGCTAATCACATTCCTGAACGTCGACCGTTCTTTTACAAGCTGACATCTCAAGTAATAGTGACATTTACGAGTCATTAACGGCTTTGGATTAAAGGGCACAATGCAGTTGCTCATTCTGATGACGTTTCTTCTATAAGATGCTCATGTTTTGGTCCTGTTGATGCATTTATTGGGTAGTTCCGATGAAGGGCTGTATGGTTCCCAAAGCACAACTTCACATTATACGGTCTGCAACCAGTCGTCGCATATTTTATGCACCATCGCTCCATCAAAGATACGAATCGCCCGTCTCGTCATGTCTGGATCTTGGTGCCATATGCCAATTATACTCGACCTCTACCGCCGTCGTAGATGGCCCAAGTTGTCAGCACTACGACCGATCGAGCTACTTTTGATCGTCATCATCATCGTCTGCGTTTTTTTCTGTTGTCCTTCATTCTTCATCTCTTTTAGTTTGTTGTATTCCTCTAATATACCGATGCCTTTATGTATAAAACAACAAATATAAACTTGGTTTTTCGGTTTCAAGTGGAAATACTCCCCTGTCCAATAGAATTCAAATCATTCCATGATTCGTTTTGACATATAATTCGAGACTTGGTTGGCATGGAAGATTCACTTTGCTACACCAGATTTGATGAAAAAATTGTTTTCATCGGGGTTGAGGGTAAGGAAGAATATGGGAACACGCTCCTTCCTGTTTTCACTCAAGCGATGCAGTATCCACTTTATCCAGAGTAGTTAAAATTTTTTCCTTTCCGAATCCGAGCTTGCTCATATGTCAGTTATTGTTGAGCGATGAAAATCAAGTATCGTAAAGTAGCATTGCCACAATTTGGATATGCAAAAACAAACGATGATTGATGGTGTTGAAGTTTCCAATCAACGCGTTAGTATGCTAGGAAGAACCCCTTAGATGCAAAATTAGTATTTGTCATTGCTTATCCTTCTTAGGGTCATCAGTGCTTTCATTTCTTTTTTCTGCTTTGAATTGCCGTACGATTAAAGGCTTTTAGACTGCTGCATCAGCGTCGAACACCGAATTGGCTAGGCTTCAAGTTTCTCTCCGAAACGCGCAGCTGCAAGTAAGCTGCAGTTAGAATACGAAATGTCGTATCCAATTTATATAAGATTACAATATTATGTTTCGGAAGCTCATTTTTTTCGTCTATCAATACCTCATTAGTATTAATGTGAATTTAAAGAAGCATTTGAATACAATGGGCACTTGTGACGCAGTAGTCACACTGTGACTGCACTACACATGGGATCGATCCCAGGCCCGTGGTCCACCAAGCTTTCCATTCCTCCGGGGTCGACAAATTGGTACCATACTTGTCTGGAAGGGTAGCAACACTGGCTTGATACATCGGTTGGCCACCGCAAGTCATTGTAAAGGCCAGATATGCATTCAATCACCTCCAAACGATGCGTAATGAAGTCGAATGCATGGCGCATCCCTCCGGGATTGATCAACTCCGAGAGCTTTATCGTTTTATCCTTTTATTTGAATACATTTTTAACACTTAATTTTTCATGCTGATTGTAAAATGCTGTTTGACAGGTGTAGGATTTTCAAAAGGTTCCCACCGACTAGCAACAGAAAAGTGGTTTTCTGATTCCAGGAGCGAAATTTTCATAGCTTTACTTTTGGAAGTATTCCGCTACTTATTAGCGTCATCTAGCTTTATTTCAAGCACATAAGAACTGGAGTATTCCTCCCTATTATGGACATTTGGATGAAGGACAGTTATATTCTAGGAAGAACTGCTCCGTGAAGACAACACGCAGCTGCGAGTGCAGATCGGTCTTGCTGAGAAATCACGTGTGGTAGCTAAAAAAGACGCAGTGAGTTCTGATTGCCTGATTGGTGATCTGCTGATTATAGAGTTTTCTTAAAGAATCTCAATATAAACTTACAGGACTAATCCTTTATTTGTTCTGTAGTCTGAGATTGAGATGCGTTACTGAGCATTAGGTACAGATTTCATTTTGGTGGAACACAGTTTATACGTAGCCTTTGTTTACTGCCTATTATTGTTTTCATGACATCGTATTATGTGAAATACAACACTAATGATGATGAGATGTGAGCATAAGTTGTAACCTAAGTTGCTCTTCGAACCCGCAATTACCCTTTCCGGAGGCTCGCATGTAATCCACTACACCACCGAGGCTCTCGCTTTGCCTTTCTCTCGGTTAATTCTTTACTCTAACGGTGATATCAGAAGTCACCTGTCAACGAAAATGTCAAGACTATTAGAGTGCAAAACTGGCTGTGAGGAAGGCAAAGCAAGGGCTAAAGTGGTGCAGTGGATAAAACGTGAACCCTCGGAGAGCGTAAGCGCAGGTTATAAGTGCGACTGGGGACCCGAGTTTTGATCATATCTCAGCATCCTTGCACTTTATGTAGTTCTTCTGACTCCTTGATTCCAAATCTTTATAGGACTCACTAGCTTCGATGCACCAGGCACTTCTCAGTGATCACGATCGTCTCCAGAATCTCCACGATCTTCTAACGCACGACTACGAGAGGACACGGCAGGAGAACGCCGACATGAAGACTAAACTCAAACTCCAACAACGGGTCAGATTACGCTTTCGATATATCTCATCCTCTTCACAGTCGCTCATTATTCCTCTTAGTATTTTGTTCATCCTGCTTCTCTCATTCTGCAACTCACAACACCCACAAGTAATCAAGAATTTGGACTTCTAGTAAACGTTGGAAATCCAACGACATCGAAATTCCGGACACGTTTTGAGCGCGTTTCGAATTTTCTTCTGACATCGAGTTGTTTTCACTGAATTGTTTGAAATTTGAACATTTTTCGATAGACTTTTTAATTTTTCAAATGTAATGGGTAAAGGCTGGATGTCTTTATGTGTCATCATATTTTTTATTTTTTATTTATATGACTCCTCTTCACATCTACTGTGCTGATCCCAGCACTTCTCATATTCAATTCGTTTCCTCGCATCCATTGTCCACGAAAATCTTCCAACTTTACTTGTGGCTTCGGTTGCTGCTTGAGGATTTCCATTTCATTTTGGATGTCGTAGAATGCTGGTCGAGGAATTCTCGCTGGATCCCTGAGATAGCCAGGATGGAGGGTTCCCAATTGGATTGCAGGAAGTGAATTTTTTCTCAGACAAGTCCGATACCAATTTCCCGACCCCAGAAGGATGAGAGGCTTGGTGAGGATCGTAGTGATGTGGGTTTTAATCGATTAGCTCCTAATCAATAATATTTTGAAAAATTCTGAAAAGTGAAATTTTTGAACCACGGCTTTTGTTTCTTCTATTTCTACTTTAGTCAATTCTAAGACGTTTTTTTAGTTCGTTTACAGATTGAAAGGTATCGGAAAGAAGCAAATTCAAATCAGGCCTTCCAAATTTCATAAACGCCCTCTCAACTAGTTAGTGCACTTTGTGTGTTCCTTCAAGTCATTTGTAATGGCGTTTTTGTTAGCAATGGTACCGTTCGAATAGAAGTTCTCTAGTGAATCGTCCGGTTTCCGACACCAAAAAGTTGGCTGTTCTCTACGGCCCGCGTCGGCTGATTGGTGCTCACCAGGAAAACTACGTGGATGCTTTCCATTTCAAATCCCAGCTAGACACTTTGTGTTCCTACGCAGTCATTTATAATGTGGTTCTTATTAAATTTGTCCATATAACTTATAGAACTGTTTTCTTTTGCGGAGTGTCGGGGAGCGTTATGTGAAATTCTTCACACTTTTAACCATTCATCTCTTCTTAGAATTCTTTTCTATCTGGAATACACACTTTTTCTCTTGATCGATACACGAAATTATAATCCTGAATTCATATCCCTATTATGATCCCAAAAAACTAGTTGGAAACGATCAGTCCATATATAAACGCTAGTTCCTTGCAGTTGAAAAGTAGATTTTTCTGTCTGTTTGATAGTTCCTACTTCTAGCCGGTTAATTCGACTCATTCGCGTGAACTGGACGAGATGCGACTCGCATTGGAGCACGAACGAAGCGAAAAGGATCGTCAACTTCGCGCTTACGCCGATTTGCATAATGAGCACGGAGCCTTGAAAAGAGAACTGGATCACATCAGGTAACTGGCATTGAATTTCATTTCCTCTCCTTGAGGTAAGGAAACGAAAATCTTGTTTTTCTTCAACAAGTTATGGTTCGGTTTTGTGCAACGGGTTTTATCCCAAAGTTGGGAGTGTTGGAGCGGCATATAGTGCAGTTGGAGGGATCTTTGATTCTTTGGTTTTCTTTCCACACCACAGGCTTCAAACTTCAATTTATCGCTTCTCAGCAAATTAGTTTTATCATAGAGACCATCTATAAAATCCAAATATCCATATTATAGGAACAGTCCATAAAAAAGTTTCGATTTGCTTCCATGTTTTAGTAGCTTACATCATCGAACTGACTTCTTTGTCTAGTTGAAGTGTTTTTTCTTCTTGCTTAAACGCACTCTTTCTCCAGAAAAGAAAATGATTGTCTCTCTCGCAATTGTGATAACCTCAGCTCGGAGATTCGGAAGTTAAAATTAGCGGAGCAAGCACAGAGAACTACCGTGAAGGATTTGATGGCAAGTGCTGAAGAGCAAACAAGGAACATCCAGGCCAAGGAAGTCGAAATCGCCAAGCTGCGCAACGCTATCGAGGTTAGTGATGTCTTCGTTTTCATTCCGAAAATTTTCACTGAGGGGAAAACAGCTGAGTAACAATTGGAGAAGAAAAATAAAAAGCACGAAATTTCGCAAAAAATGTCGAAAAAGAGGTTGAGGAATGGAAGACTAAATATGTTGATTCATTGATAAGTGCAAGCCAGATTGAAAGAATTTGTAACTGCTGGCTTTTTGACGCCGTCACCTTCTTCCGGGTCACAATAATCTAGGCCCACTGTCCACAGCACAGCTGTTCTTCTTGCAATATCTGAGTTTTCAAGATCACATCGAATCGAATCGAGTGGGATGAGATAATGTAGGAATTGAACTCTGTACCCGATTAATTGCGGCTGGGAATAAGACGGTGGAGCGCAAAATTTCACCCGCGATGATGATTTGCCTCTTGTAACTTAACCAGTGTATGAAAATATGGCTTGCTTGTACCGAAGTAAAATAAAAGTTGGTCTTAAAAAGATTTGAAAATTGCAAGAACTGGAAATTAGTGCATGAGCTGCAATCCTGTATGGGTACGGTATGAGCAGATGTTCATTCAGTCCTTAATTCGTTGAGATGATGACGAAGTGCTAAATGAATGGGTTGTAAAAACGTAGTTGTAAGAACGAGTTAAAAGCAGCTCTTAAAACTTTCACATAATTCTAACCTCTTCTCATTTACAGCTGCTAACAAAGGTTAATCGTGTGTACGAAGAGGAAAATAAGAATCTTGGACGGCAGGTGGTTTGTAGTTATTTCATATAACGCTTATTTAATGATTATGGGCTATAGCTTACGTGTCTCCAGCCGCTGTTTATATTACATTGTATTGTTTTCCGCGACTACACTACAAATTATTTACTATTCTATCTGCTTAGGTGGAAACGCTTCTGCACTATAATCATGAGCTGCAGGAAAAAGCGTTAAGTGAGAAGAATGTCGCTCATATGGAACAGAAACAGTTTCAGGTCAGTGATCTAAAAAGAATGCCTTCTTACAGGTCTCCCTGAACCACTTTATTTTACTTTTAAAGCAGAAGTTTAGCAGAAAAGTGGAAGTGCGCGAGTTTTTCTTTTGATAAATTTCACAGCTCAGCTGAGTTCTATAGTATTCGAGTTCAGGAACGCTTATCCGCCCTTCAACGTCACAAAGAGAAGTTAGAGGAAAAAATCATGGATCAATATCGATCTATGGAGAGTAAGAAGGTGACCGAACGACAAAAGCAGCCATTAGTGAAACGTGCGGCGAAGGCTTTAATCAACCGAGTGAGTTTCATTCATCAGTTCCTCTACTACAAGAATTTCTGTGCTAATACCATTAATCGGTAACTTTGGAAAGAGTGAGCCGTTTTGGAGAACGGATTTCAATGTATGCTGTTCCAGCGTCGTCCTCCAGTGCCGAGCGGTGGTGGTTCGACGACCGAGGACAGCAGTGTATATAGCGCCGACGAAGGATCACCTCCACTCACGAACGGTAAATGCGTCCCCGAACACAGCACGGCCAGCACGCTAGTCGCACGTCCGTCGAAGACGACACACACATCGGCAGCACCACGTCCATCAGCTCCAGCACCGGTCCTGACACTCAGTGCACAGCATGGTCGATCGTCCCTTCGTCTGCCGTCCTTCAAAAAACGGCCGACGTTTCGGGATGACACCTTTCAAGGCGCTTACAGCAATCCAAATGTAAAAAAAATGATCGACGTTCAATATGTGCCTTATGAAAATTAGAGAATCTTCAGTGATTGTGCAACTTGAAAGCGCCAGAATATTGCAAAGCGTTGCCAAAGTTCTTAATTAGTTAAAACGTAGAGTCGAGTGTTACAAGCAGTCGGTTGATTGTGGATCCCAAAAAGTCCATAGTGAGGAACTTGTTGAACTGCACTCTATCATCACACCTTCACCACAGTGAAATATCGCGCAGTCATATGTCTCAATGGCGAATATTTGGGCCAAGTGTAAAATCTCTTCACTTTCCGAGCGAATATTAGTGGAATTTCACACAAACCGATCCGAATTCAAGCATTCGACTGCAACCGCGAATCAAATCAACAACTGACATTTGACTGTCCGTCCAGTTTAAAGTCTTTCCTTCATGGGTCCGTTGTTTTGTGTTTGAACGTTGCCTATTTGTAAGTTTTTCGTGTACATAGTTGTGCTCTATTTTACCCTGTGATCGTCTTCGTGTTTTGTCTTTGTCCGATCAATAAATCTATAAAGTCTCTAATGACTTTGAAATTTACAAACGCATGCGTCCACTCCTGACAAGTTAAAAATGTAAATGTAAAATATTGATTCGCCAGTAGGAAGAGGTGATGGGTACATGAAAATTAAAAACTTGAGCGACTTCCACTCGAGAACATTTCGGAAAGATGTACGTGAGGGGTTAAGCACCCATGAATGTTTGTGATTATCTGTCTACAGTTACAGAAAACTCAAAAAACTACGGTAAAGAAAATTCCGTGACCAACATTAAATTTTTTTGCAGAATATTTTATGTACTTTTCTGCCAAAATGTCAATACAGAGCCGACTTCGTCGTGTGAACGGACGGATGACGGGAAGGGGCAGTGAAAATCTTTCAAAACCATTTACTATAAAATTCCCCTTTTTCACTACCTTCCGAAGAAAATGAAAATTTAACGACTTACTTAATCTGTCATCAATAATTCATAAGAAAGTCATTCATGATGCACTCATTTTGCCTTCATGACACCTGCACATTGGCATTCTAGAAATAGTCGCATTGCTCAGCATGAAGTTCTCAGTTCTTCAGGAATGGAAGAGTTCGAGGATTTTCCGCCGACTTGCTCGTCTTCTGATGACCACGATCGTGTCTCGCCTCGTCACGAACCCACATTTCCTCCACAAAGTCGGTTTTTTTTAATAAGAGTTTTCACTAGTAATCTCTTCATAATATGGATGTTCACTTAGTCTACTTACTCAAACTATTGCTTGCTATGGTCTAGTACAAAATACAGTATACTGATATTGTGCAAAATTTCCGACAAGAAGCTTTCTGCAGGGAATCAGTCCAACGAAGCCGAAACAAGTACCAGTGGCTTACGTAAAATCTCAAGTTAATAGTTCAGCATTCCAGCTTTGAAGATAAACCTTGGTTGATGTCACAACATGTGGTGTTTGTCGTTTTGCTAAATCATTGACCAAGGAAATTATAACATCGACATTCTGTTTATCTTCTCAACCAGCAGAAAATTTCTGCATAGCAGAAGCAGCTCGATCCATCCTTTGATTCCTCCTCGCTCGACTGAATCGGTTGTTTCGTATGGGAGGTTTTTGGACGAATATGAAAGGAAGGGACATTCCAACATCTTATTGTATTATCAAAGGCAAACGTTTCGCACAGTAGTGAATTGGTCAAGAATCCCTTTTAAAACAGTTTGTTACATTTTCACAGTTCAATACACCAGTTTTTAAAGGGAAGTGAAATTATATTCAGAACCCCTGAATGGAGAATTTGTTCGTTACCGCGGTGAAGTTGCCGGGGGCTCCATGAGAGAATGTTCTCCCCACCGAACAACTACAAATGGTCTAACGTCGTGCAGTGGTGAATTTTGCTTAGAATTTTCTGAAGAAACATTATCAAACATTCGACTGTTTGATAACTTTCTTACGTGTTCTAAATGGTATTGTCTCAGTAGTCTAGTAATTTTATAGGCACGGAAAGACTAGATCCTGGTCCGGTACCATGTGGCCTTCCACCGCGTGCTCCAATGCGAAACACACCGGTGACTGCCTCACTTCGTTCCTATGCAGTCCCACCACCGTATTCCGCCTGCAACAAGCAAAAGCCACCACCGTACCCTGGACGCGCGCACTCGGTGGAGTATATATTCTCATTATATTCATATTATCAGTCGCGTCATCCGCAATCTAATTCTAAGACATAGCATTTCCATGTTGAAATTAATATGTTCCGTTTTGCATCTTCTCCACTCACAGGGTTCGCCTTGCTCTACGCCACTGCCAGCATCCTTTGTACCCCAATCATCATCGACGCCTAAAAGTTCAGATGAATCGCCTTCTAGAAAAGAGAGCGTAAATAAACCACCCGACCAAGTCGTAGCTGAAGGTGAAAGGAGAACATTCATTAGGGAAAAGGTTAGTTATAGCAAACCAAGGACAAGGTGAGGATATTGTGTTGTTAATCATTAAATATGAAAAGGATCGCTAACAATATGATGTAGCCCCTATAACCTGCTGTTATACAAAAATTAATGCAAATGGGTATAGCACTGAAAGGAATAAAGATTACAGTGTTTACACTGTCCTTTACATGAAATCTCTCCCAACGGTTTACCGCCTCATCACGGCTGGGAGGTGTTCCTAGGTGTCGCGTTGCGATATAAAGCGGGTGGATTCATTACCTCTCAGCAGTCTTCCAAGCTGAGAAGAGGTCTGGTGTTTCCATTAGGGAGCCCTGCTAAGAGTAAACCAATAACAGGATCCACTACCGCGATGTTATCAAACTTGTCGCATAGTGGCAAATCTCCCTGTAATTCACAAGAGCTGCGAGTGCCTGTGGTGGTGAAGACCTGCGGCAGATTTTGGTCAGAGTGACCTCGGGATTCCAGAGAACCACAATGGTTTAACCAGCAAATCTCCGAAAAATGGTGATTATGCTGGGGCCCGCACAACCAGTGGTGACGCGCCGTTCGAGTTCAAGCATCAAGTATATGGAATCGCACTAAAACACGAAATGTGGGATTTCTCGTACAACAAACTGAATGAGTGATTGAATGCATATTTACAATGACTCGCGGTGGCCTACCGATGTGTGCCAGTGCTGATATCCTCCCAGACAAGTCTGGTACCAATTTGCCGACCCGGAGGGATAGACAGTTTTGTGAGCCATGGGCGCGGAGATCGATCCTATATGTGCTGCAGGGCGCCTTCGACCACTGCACCACACGCGCCCTTTCAGGGTTACGCAGTCTTTCTAAGAATTTACCATGGTCTAATCATGGCATCCCATAGAACAACGATTTCATGGTTTCAGGAAGAACGACTCGACAAAGCAATGAGCATCTACGAAAATGTTTCGCAAGCTGAAGTTCGTGCCAATGAGAGTACTGTGTGGTACGAGTACGGTTGTGTATAATTGTCATTTAAAAAAAACAACTGCAATCTTATGCTCGTTTCTTTGATTCCACAGCACCTCTATTACTGCGCTCGAATACAATACGTCTAAACAACCTCTCTATTCCAAGCATTCTTTTCGATATTGAATCGCCTCTAACGTGTATAATACTCGAATTTGCAGTCATTCCGGTTCTCTGTAGCCCCTCACTAATATCCAACCCACACTTCTGCCATTATGTATTGGTATATTCATTGCATAGTAATCAATCCTTATGCAGCTGTCATGAGAAGTCTATATAAAGTTCATTTTATATTGACAGTCTTCCAGATATGACAACTATTTAATTAATGCCATTTTACAGTTAGTGTAAACAGTACAATTTAGGACGTTCTTCTATACATTTTAGTGTACACACTCTAAGAGATCGATGTACAGGTATCTGAGAATGGGAGAATGATTAGATTTTCATACGGAGTTTGTATTATGGATATGTCAGTATTATTCCATGTCAATATCTTCAAATTATGGTCATGGTTATGTGACAGAAACGAAGACTAGAACATTTCTCATATAACTATTTGAGAAGTTTCACTGGTTAGTTGCTTGTAAAAACTTTTGCCTCATTTCATCAAAACTCGGTGGCTTCGGCTGAAAACTTCGTCGCCGCAGGGTGAGTGATTCTCGACCAGCCGTCTGACAACTTGATAACCGCAATTTCGCACGAGAACAAGTCTGAAGGAATTGTTCATGAATTCACTTCACCACTTATTATGGGCAGAATATGTGTTTTATTTTTCCTGCTGAATAACTAGCTACTAAAAGTGCACGTCCTCTGCGACGAAATGACCAATAAGTACAGTTAATAGGCTGAGAATAAACCATACCATACCTTTATAGACTCCGACAACATCGCTAAAGCTTCCAATGTAGTCGATACAATGCCTTCCAGTTTCATAGAATTTGCGCACAAGAACAACTGCAACGATGCCTCGACTGCACGTAGATCTTGTAGTTGAGCGGCTAAGTTCGAACTGCTTAACTCTGCATCCTGAGGAAAAAGAAAGACCATTAAGAGAACGATTTCATAACGAGATGACGAATACCTCTAAGAAGGGCTGGTAAGCTTGAAGCAAGGATACATCTTCAGCTCCTTTTGTAACCAGATGTTGCTGCAAACGACTGACCGAAGAACTTAGTTCTTTGGAAGCTGCTTCCACGTCGTCCAATACGACTGATCTTAAATGATTTGAGGCTGCTTTCAGACAGGATAACGAGATACCAACACGGTAAAATACTTAGGACCAGCTGGAAACAAATTGTAACGGGGTTTGAAATAGAAATATCCGTTTCATTGAGAAAGAGTGATTTCAAGGTATGTAGGACGTTAGAACTTCATAGTTCGCCCTTCACGGAACTCTCGGAGTTTAACAAAAAAAAAAAGGACGAGAACGGTATGTAAGATGTTGCAACATTGCCTTCGCTCGAAAATGACAAGTAAATTAAATCTACTGTTAACCATTTAAATTTATCAAAAACCGAACTTAGCTAGAATCAGTTTAGTGTGCTTGAATAAATATTCTCTAGCATAGAATTTCCTAAAAAAACTTAATAGACTTAAAGAAGGTACTTTGCTCCATCGATCTAACGCTTTAACGAACGCCATTTTAGCTTTAACGTTTTAAAAATAAAGTTTCTACATGGTTGAAAAAGCAAAAGATCCAGAACTAAAAGGAAAGGAAAGCTAACTTTCTGATACAAGTCTCGCAGTCACAAACTTTAACGATCGCTTTTTGCTGCAAGGAAACCCGTTTTCCCAAGCTGTTTAAAATAGGTAATAACTCTTTTTAAGTAATAAAAACTGCATAGATTCATAATTTTATCGTGGTAAAGTAAAGTGAATATTGTAGTGGCAAATTTCTCTACATTCGTTTTTATTTCAATTAATAAAGTGCACTCAGATGGAATGTCTGTTTAAAATTCGTAAGCGGAAATATCTTCGGACATCTATGCATTGACATCAGTTCGTATTGAAATTAAAAGTTAGTTTCATTAGTTGTTGACGGTATCGCGATTTCAGGCTGAGAATAAGAAGTGGGAAACGTAAACTAATAAGATAAAAAAGATAAGACAAGGCATTTGAGAGGTAACCATATCCATTTTCGCTCTTTGTATTCCGCTTATCACACTAAGCAAGAGATTACTGACATACTTTGCACTTTGCAAAGAAGTGACGACACCTTGGAGCGTTGCGACATCGAACTCCACGTACTGAGCAAGAAGGTCCACAATACGAAGATTTGGGGCATTGTCCCGCTAGAAAATGTTAAGCATGATCTCAACGAAAACATGAAGCATATTCCAAAAATAAAGAAAACAATAGTGATTGCTGGTGTATGAATCCCCATGAACGTTAGTAACTGACTAACCCTTCCTTTCGCTGTCAATACTGAAAGCAGCGATGAAAACGAGAATCCCACAGCTCTCGAAATCGCAGTGCCCTGCAATAAAGAACGTAAATAACTAGTAATAGATGACGCAAAAAGTCAAACCAACAGATTTACTTGATTAATAAAATTTCCATACTGCAAACACTTGTGCAAGAGACGAATGAGCACAGGAGAACGTAGCGCATCACATGCAGTTCGTAATCTCTTCGTTGACTCCAAATAACGTGCAAGCTATAATCCACATTCTTCGATAGAAGAAATAACAAACACGTCTAATATATCACTCTATCAGGAGGCACATGTGGTGCAGTGGACGGATTCTCTCTGCGGTACACAAGGAATCGATCCCCATGCTCAAAGCTCAACAAACCTTCCATCCCTCAGGGGTACCAAACGTGTTTGGGAGGGTACGAGTGCTGGCTCGATAGATCGGTAGACCACCGCGAGTCATTGTAAAGGTCAGATATGTAGCATTCAATCACCTCCAACGATGCTTAATGAAGTCGAATGCATAGCGCACCCCTCAGGGATTGACCAACGCCGATAGCTTTAGCCTTTATCCCTTTCTTACGATTGTAAAATTGAATTCTATAGGAAATCCCGGATACATAGTGGCATTTTAAAATATAAAAATTGGATATTCAACAAACTATGTAACTTAAGAAAAAAAGATGAAATCAGCTCTGTCATTGCGTCTAGTAAAATGAGTAGCAAAAAATGAAAAAAAATGTATACCAAAAATTTGATGCAGAATAAATAGCACTTACATCCTGGAGGATATGCTCGCGTGCGATTGCAAGCTCCAACCTCATTTTCAAGGCTGGTCTTGAGGCAGCCTCCCAGCACAAAACGTCGCAATTACGTTTCACTTCTTCTCGACTAACTTTCTTGTACATGAGCATCTAAATCACAATACTCTTCCTTTACGTTCTCGGTAGTGGTCCTAAGATGTGGAGTTGGGTATTTCTACTCATAGCTCAACTTTATTAGGAAAGGGATAGTGAACTATAGAGTATCCCCTCTGAGTGGTCTCAAGTTGGTTTGCAATCTGGTAACATAGCACTTTACTAGTTGGTCAAAAGAAAACTTATTTCGAATCAAAAAAGAATTTGAGACGCAGGTGGATTCACAAAACAGACTCCCTCTCCACCGTACGTCGAACTGGATTTACAAACAACTCTTTTACTGGCCGGTCTGGCAGGAACAATTGGCATTACGGACGTTCATGTGAGTCGTTATACATTTGATGATGTTGAATGGCCATTAATGCTATAATTACTATTATTGCACTACGCATAACAATAACCACAATCTGCCAGCTATCTTTCATCGCCTTCTCAGTCGGGCGCCAGTAAAGGGTCAATTCGTTATTGATGCATGAAAGTGGTGGCCAAGTGGTTCAGCTTCCATGAAGAAAATGAAAACCAAGATCAGTTCGTTATTAACGCATGAGAGGTGGCTCTGTGGTTCAGGTTCCTACAAAGAAGACTAACACCATCACATTTTTCACTGAAAACCATGAGAAATCCAACCTTCGTCGGTTTACCAGTTGAGGACTTCCTGCTACAACAGCCAACTGCTAATAATTCATACATTGCAGTTGATACTAACATCATTTCTAGCTCATTTGATATTCATCGTTTTCCTCTTCGGGACCACCTAGTTTGCAACTTCACACATTTCCCTTGGGTGCATTAAACGTAAGCACAGCAGTCGATATATCGCGTATGATAACGCTACGTGCATTGATTGTGGTAAGATAAGTTTCAGATTTCCATGACGGACGTCACAGCAAGGAAGACCGTGGAGTCCAAGAATAGGGCAGAAAACAAGTGATTTGCTCTTTTGTTCTTCATACCTGATGTTCTCCCAATCTTCTCAAGCTACTCACTTTGATTTCACGAGCTCAGTAAATATATTTACCACGAACATCACACTTTAGCTAAAGTCAAGAACTTCATTCCACATATACCGTCGATATCCAAAATTTTTCCAGCTGGCTAGTACTGGTTGCCATAAGCCAAGTGAAAGTGCTGTGCGTACTTGAAAATGAGAACGACTCCAACGACGTGGTATACCGACGGCGGCACAGGATCTTCGAGATCAATAACGCCGCCTTTTACAAGTGAAGAATTGTTTCCGCTGAATCGAAGATTTTTTCAAGTCAACAAAAGGGAGAGAGGGCCACATCTTGTACGCTTTTCATACTTCAGCAAGCTTTGAAAGCATTGGAATATGATCTATAGTAGTGGAAAATACCTCGAAACTAACATTCTGACACTTTTCTGTGCCGTTAACGAACACTCCAGTGGACATCTTTCACACTACGGGCAGCAGACTACTTACGCGATAACTTCCGTCTCATGTATACCCGCTCTTATAGAGTTATACAATATGGCTTGAGAGTGCTCGCAGATTCGTTAGAAACCGATGTGGACTACAGTTTATTACTTCCTACAATTTGTAAACCAGGCTGCTAAGCCCAATCGTCTAAAAATGGCCTGTACATTGTCCTGCAAAGTACGCTAGCTCATTCTTCCCAAGCAACTCCGATAGCGAGAAAACGATCTCTTAAACAAACTTTACATCAAAAAGATCTTCCAACTAGAAAACCTCTTCATCTGTGGGAAAATACTTCAGTAGAGAAGAAAGAATTTCCACCGGAATTTCTTCCATATTGTTTGACTCTAGCTGAACAACAAGGTCCATCACAGTCCGTGGACGAAGTCTAAACGTTTGATCTCAAAAATACAGCAAAAACCATCTAGAACATTATATTTCCCTACGAATACAATACAGTATGAAGGCAATGGAACGGGTGATGTAAAAGAAACACACTTGGCAAGCAATATCTCCAGATTGAGAGCCTTTTGCTGCGGTAGCTGAAACACAATTTCGGAGCTCGAATTCCCGTTCATACCATTTCGCTCAGATAGAAATCGGGATTTATTTGGCTCTGTTCTTTCAAATAATGACTGCACCTAAAAACAGTGGCTCTGCTGAACAACTTGACTTATTTCATGAGTTTACAAGCACATACATGGTCCCGTTCCTCAACACCAAATTCTGGTCTCGGATACTCGTTCCAAACCGTATGCACATCTTGAATGAAAAGTCTCCAAACACTTATTATGCAAAGGTTCTACATAATTTTAAATACGTATTGGTGAAAAAACACTTTTATAGTATGCAAAAGAATACTGAAAATTGCATGTAGAAGTGGAACGAAATAAAATTCACTACTCTGCATTGCTTTTTCAGAAGGCAAGAAAACAAACTAGTGATATCGTGTTGACTAACGGCTTGCCAAAATAACGAATAAGTCCTCTTCATCTTCGGATAAACTTCATCGCTGCGAGCAGAACCTAAACAGTGACGGTCTAACACGGAAAATAAGAGAAACAACACTGTAGATATTTACGGTGTGAAGGTAGAGGGGTCGATGATGATAAAGCAGGTTGACCAAAAATACCCGGTGGCGGTGGAGGCGGAGGTGGAAGAGTTGCAGCACCGATCTGTATCTCTAAAACACACAGAATTATCGGATTTTGCAACGGTATATATATATATATATGTATATATATATATGAAAGAAACACCCTCACTTTCCAATACTGGTGGGAGCGGTGGAGGTGGAACAGGCAGTGGGTTCGGAACAGACGGAACAGGAGGAGGAGCAGAAGCGGAAAGGGTAAGTTGTGGGATTGGAGAAGATGGAACAGGCCGTATAACCGAAGTAGGGGGAACAGATGCTGTAGCTGGAACAAATAAAATCATACATATATTTTTTCAAATGGAAGATGACTTTTTTACTAACATAAAACGATACGTGTATGAACTAACAACATTTCATTGGAGTCATGATCCAATGTTTGAAACAATTGCCCAAGTCTCCATCAGACTCTTAATAACAAGGAAACAAAGCAGAAAACACAACTGTAGAACTAATTCTGTATAGCAGTAACAGCTCAAGAAGAACATTAAAGCCGATACTTGAGAGTTCAGTTATACACTTATGCGATAGAAAAACTTAGGCATAAATTGTTAGGAAAAGAAAATGAATGCTTGACTTCTTTACTTTTTTACTTTTTCTTTACTTCATTCTATTTCACCTAAATCGTCCAGAACAAACGAGGCGTTCACCTTTTCCTTTATCCAGGCAAGGAGCTAACGTAGTAGTTGACTCTGGCAAAACTGCCGAAGTATTATGATCTGAAATGAGGATTGGTAAGAAATATTGGCACATCTAGTGGCTAACAACAACATAACACCATGATCGAACACCACATCACTAACATGTATATACATACAAAAATGAAAATACTATGAATAAATGGAGTCTTCGTGTCTTCTGACCGAACAAAACCCATCGTATATATTTGGAAACACGACGATGACGATTGGGCACTTCACTGGTGCCCAATGTCGTTTTGTCATTCGATTGTTAAAAATACTAAAAGCACTGAAAACGACAAATGACCACATAAACGCCCAAAATGATTTACTATCTCATGGCAATAAGGACGTCAGTTTGGTGACAAACACCGATGTACAGCACGAACGTTCACCCATCAGCAGGTCAGCTGAGAATCCCTCTCCTAGAATCCAAATTTCTTTTCCCTCGGAAAAGAAAGTTAGACGCGGAACTTTGTGAATCGGAGGCATGTTGCCCACATTACAATGAGGAGTTTAGTGATGAAGGCGACTTTTCTTTTCCTGGACATCCCACAGTGGAACAACGTGCCCAACTAGTGGCACGCCGCAGTTTGGAGATCCACTCTTCAAGCGGAAAGATGGTGGAAGACAACCAAAGCAAGATGCAAAGACGATCGAGAAGTATTACGCTAAACTCATGACTACGGGATTTTAACTAGTACTCGATCGCCATCCCAGTTTCACTTATCCAGAGGTCGGAAAGTCTTTTAAAAAATGTTCACTCGTAGCTTAAAAAGTCGATTCGACAGGTTTACAAAAACATTCATTTTTTTCCGCATGGGCGCCACAAAAATAACTTGAACCTAGTCGACACTATAGTCTGGTTGTTTTACAAGATGTTTCACGATAGTGGAAATTAAAACAGTCGAGTAGTAAACAGTAATTTGAAATGAACAAGCGAGGTTCTAGGAACATCACTGAGGACATGGAGTTATACAAAAACGCAGTGAAGGGCAGATTGCAGATAACTCAAAAAACCAGTTTTCTATAAACCCCGGTGTGAACAGTTGATATTTTATTTATACGTTCTTACGAACTGATCTTGTTGAACTGATGCATGGTTGGTATAAGTTGTCGTTGCTGGTCGATGGCTGTTTCGGCGATTTCGCCTTCTTCAGAGTCATGATGTGGCGAGGGGGAGGCTGCCATCGATCAACAACAACAACAACCGCAACGACGACAACAGCAACAACAAACATCAACAGAAAAACAGCAATGACAACTAATACCAACGTCGCATCAGCTCAACGAGATCAGTTCATAAGAACATATAAATAAAAAGGGTAGATAGTTCATCTCACCTGTCCGCCGCAACTTGACTGGAGATGTGCTCGCGACAAAAGACATGGAGAATGATTGACCCCTCGTCGTACGAGTTTCATTTGTCGTCGGTACAGAAGGGATGAGTGGCGGATGATTCTCTACAGCTAACAAATTTTGTTCAAGCTGATGAAAAGACAAAATAGCGATTTTAACAAAGACAGCGAGTGTTCACAAAAGTTCAATAACAAACCTGAAAAAACCGATGGTGTTTTATTCGTCTGAGAACTTCGTTCATTTGGTGGAATTAAAGCAAGGGTAGTTGCACGATGTCGTGATATCGACCTGGAAAAAGGTTATCGACTTAATGTGTACTGCTGTGCAACATCAAGAAAAACTACTACGATTCTACTCAGCAGAGAGAAAGGTGAAGCAAAGAACGCGTATGGTATGGTGTGTTGATGAACGTGCTAGCCCCGAAAAGGGTAATAGCGTGTTCGATCCCCCCGCCTGCAGACAGCCGCGGTCCGGAGTTTTGCAAATATCTCAGCATTATTATAGTTGTATCACATATAATACCCTGCTGTGAAAAATTGTAAAAGGCAGTAAATGAGAAGTTAACATTATTGCAATTCATCCATCCCTTTTAAAGTGACTAATCAATAAGGTAATAGTAGACCGGACAACTTGACAGACAAGAACTTTCTAAATAGACATGTTCTGATTCACAGCCTTTTGATAGATCCAATCTTTCCTATGGCAAAAGACCGCCTTTTTCCTAACCTAGGCCTCGGTTATCGTTAACATAATCGTGACAAAACAGATTCATCGAGAACTGCGGATGAAATCGATAACTGGAGCCGTGAGGCACTGAGAACTAAAAGAGATTAACAGGAGATATTTACCTCTACCTCTCCAGGGAACTACAGGGTTTCCCCCACCATCTTTTTTTGTAAAAACTGAGAAACAGAATCAATACTTCGAGTTATTAGCACAGTCACAGAGAATGTCAATATTAGCGATGCATTAACAGCGATCATCACATCCTTCTCAGCCAAATCCCCATGTTCGACATCTTCTGCGTTCGAAGTACAAACTTTGATGACAAAAAGAACACCTTCTGAGGTTGCGGAAGTTGCTACCAGAGTTGTCTGGGAACAGTTCAATCCCTGCAATGCTAGAAGAAATCAATGCTCTAGCTCGGCTATTCCAGGACTCCAGGGAGAGTCAACTCGACCAATAATTAACGATATTTGTAAGGAAGGCGACCCAGCTGCCGAACTCTCACGAGAAGAATTAGGCCTTCGTGGATGATGGGTGTCGAGAAACGAATAGAATGCAAAAAATATCGGGATCCGTGTAATAGATGTGAAGACGACTCGTTTAAACAAATAATAATAGCTTTTACGGCAAAAATTTATAGATTATGACTTTTGATGACTATGAGTTAATAAGGTTCACTATGAGGATGATGACTGGTGGAACCCCACTTCCAGGCTAATTTTCGAAGTCAAAGCCATCAACTAAACTTGTTCCAACAAATTTTCCATGAAATCTTCGTAAAGAAGCGTTTACCAGGCAGTGGAACGACTTAAACCGAACACCTTCAAAAACAATCCAGCTAACTGCCACGACCGACTTCCTATTAACCTCGGCATTGATCAAGTGATTTTCTCATGAAACTCGTACGACGAGGGGTCAATCATTCTCCATATCTTTTGTCGCGATTAATTCCAGAAATCCGAAAATGAACCGCAGGGAAGAATGCCTCATTATCACGCGTGATATAGGGCAGTATATAAAACCGCTTTTCTGATGTGAGGGGCACATTATACTTCCACGTGATTTCTGTGCGGTTGGTCTCTACGTGACATACTTAGTGGAGACCTCATAGAAAGCGGTGAGTGTGTAAAGCTGTGTTCAAAGTGATTGAAATCTTGGTTTGGGGTTTCTTTGTTTGGTTATGGAGGCGTCTGGCCGAGTAGATTGCTATCAACTTGACCTTTCCAGGCTCTGAGGAAGGCGAAATCCGCCGAAACGTCAGCTTAATCGTGAACAAAGAATAATAACACCTCGCATTTGCTCAACAAAAATACGAAGACAATCCAGCTAATTCTCTGTACTCTTTTGTCATCCATATGGTAAAAAAACATTCGAGGGATATCACCACATTGAAATCTAAAGCACAGACTCAAATATGGGATATAAAGGTATCTTAATAGCGGGCGAAGTCCCATAAAGAATACGTTTTATGCACAATACGATGAACATCCGCTAAGTACAGAAACGAAATGCAAAGTTAATCGGAACTGATAAGGATAAAAAAACTCTTACATTGTTCAATCTCTGGGGGATGTGCCATGAATTCGACTTCATTAAACATCGTTGGAGGTGACTGAATGCATATCTCGCCTTTACAATGATTAGCGGTGGATCGACCCAGTCCTGCTATCCTCTCAGAAAAGTATGGTACCAATTTGCCGACCTCGAGGGATGGAAAGGTTGGTGTCTTAGGCGCGGAGATCCCAACTGTATATTGTCGCGCCTCAGACCACACCACACGCGCCAAAAAAACAGCCCTACAAAAAACCGAAAAATAAACCATAAACGCTGATGGATGACAAAGTGATATGAAAGGCTCTATGGCCGTAGAGTCTATGTCATAATTGTGGCTAAAGCGTTAAATGACCATGAACAACTTGAAAGCTCAATTCAATTCGAGTGAAATCACCCTGATTCGTCTTCGGTTCTTATACAGAATTCAGTGATAATGCTATAAAAGCGGCTCTTGAAATCTTAGCACCTTATTTCAATGCTACTTCTGTAACCTTGCACTGGCAACATTTCGAGCACGTTCAAAACTCTTCAAGATCCTACAATGTACTCGAGAAAGTACAAACAGCTTAAACAACACAAAGCTCAGACTCGGACCATGAAGAGATTACAAGTTCTGAGTGTGAAAAAATCCTGCACTTAAAACGATATATAAAAAGCGCTCATGAGGAGAAAAATTAGAGCATGAACAAACCATGGCGAACGATTGAACCAAAAGAGAATCTAGTCTTCCCAAATAAGAAATATTTTCAATACGGACAGATGGTTTTCCCGCTTGTGCCTGACCAACTGTATTCACAGCTGGACGGTCTACTGAGGAGGAATCGTAATTCGTACCACAACATAGACGAAATACCTACGAGACCTCATAAGAAAAGAAAATGTTCGGTTCACTCAAGAATCGTGAAGAAGAAACCTAAGAATTACCTGAATAAGACCTATAATAGGTACGAATTTATAACGCTTACCGTGGCCTTGTTTTCATTTTCGGCATTGGAGCCACCGTTTTCAACAGAAGATCATCGGATGCGAAAGAATTGCTCTCGATCGCCAATGTTGTACTATTCAGCCTCTAAACTAGTCATAAGAAATAAAAAGCAATAGTGACAGGTACTAATTGGATGAGTAAGATGTGCTACTTAAGTGGATAAAACTGTCAACGAAGAGCAACGCTTCATTGAGAGACGTCACAACCTCTCCATGATCAGGATCCGACGGCGCCGGGCTTCCTGAGAACGAACAGGACTGCTTCTTGTCGTATTCACACGACGAATTAGTGGTGTTGCTTCTTCTTCTCATTAGTATATCCGTTAATCTACGCTTCTTAGTATTCGATTCTAGGTGAGAAAATATCATAATCATTGTATAACAATCACAAGAAAGCTCCATGTCAGATAAATAATATGAGCACCTCTTTTCGTGGACTTTTCATCACCACAGTCCACAGGTTGCACTTCCAGAACTTTAGAAATACAGGGTAAGAGGCGTGTCCACATTGGTTCCGTCAAGTTGCGATTCCGAACCAAAATACGTAGCAAGCTTTGCTAAAGAGCTAAATATTTCCCTTGGCACAAATATCTGAGAACTTCAAGTGCAACTGCAATGTAAACAAAAACTTAACGAGAAAAAACGAGTCCAGAATTTTCTTTGAACGAAAAAAAAGCGATACCATCATAGACAATCATTCAGTACCTTTCTTGTCAGCTCTTGTGGATCTTTTGAAGCATCAAACCAGTCAAAGAGTAAGTCAATCGGACACTTCCGATCGAGTGCGTCATCTGATGCTTCTAGAACTATTCAGTTATGAACAGGAAAATCCTTAATGACATCTTTGATGTCAAACTTGTTAAAACCATATATGAATCAAGAATACCTTGTATAACGCGATCTCTGGCCTCACATTCAACCAGTCTTTGTAACTCACGACTCAAGGCAGGATGGTTTGTTTTAGACACCAAAGTGACGCCTTTGAGGACGCCTAGCGCTAAAAGAGGAAAAAATATATCACAAAACCCCAATACTTCGAATTCACTTCTACGTATACGATTATACTCAGCTATTCATGAGAACGAGTAATAACTTACACATCAAATCCTTCCTTAAACAGCAACGTCTCATGTAATTTGAAGTGTTCTCGATTGATTCGTTAATAACTCTTAAATCGTGAGCTTTTTGGTCAATGGAAGAATTTTCGTCAGCGAATGACGACACGACATCGCGAAGAGGAGGTTTGTCGTTCTTCTGCAAAGAGACACATCCATGTGATAGACATAAATTTGGGTAACTGAATAATATGGTAAAATAACCACAACGATGGTGAGATATTCGCAAAACTTGGACCACGGGTCAGATCGAACCACGATTAACCTTTTCAGGGGCTCGTGTATTACATATTGCACCATGGAGGCCATTGCTCTGCGTCTCTCTCAGCTAGTTTTCTACCTAGCGTTGCCATCACCAGTAACCCACCAACGGGATTGATCTGGGAAGCACAAATCGGCATTAAACCCGGTTAAGCAATAGCAATATAACTAATAAATATGTTACTCGACATCAAAGAATACACACAAGTATGATGGTAATGATATCACTTACAACGCTGACATTATCTTCTTTACTTTCTCTCACAAATCCTTTAGGTTTCTCAATGCCATTTCCGTGACCGAGTGGCTCTGCCGGTAGTAGTGTTTGTTCCAGAGAATTTGGTTCAATCACATCCTGATAAAACGACGACGCAGTCGTACAGTTCAAGCTTGACTCAGCACTTCGATAAGAGACACAATCAGAGTCGCTCTCACATGCACTGTGCCATGTCAGACTGTGACTGGCACAGCTGGAAAATGCCTGGAATAACGCTAGATAAACCGGGCTTTCGAAAACTTGTTAACAAATGTAGCCTTATGCTCGCTTTGTGATAAACGCTGCCAACTATTCGAAAATCAGAATTTTATAGTTGAAAACTTCATAGATCGATAGAAAAGATTTCGCTCCATCTCTCTAATGACATAGGTGAATTTTCTGGGACATTATTTCTCCGATCTAAAAATATTTAAGACTTCAACTCACAAAAAAAGATTCAAGCACAGAACGTTTCTACGTTTTACTTTTTATTTTCTGCCTACTACAGTTTTTACTGCAGGGTAATAAGCGAAATACAACCACAACGTTGCTGATATATTTGCAAAACTCCGGACCGCAGGTGTCTGCGGTGGGGAACGAACTCGCTATTACCCTTTCCGGGGGCTAACGCGATCACCACCACAACATGCGGTTACTTCGTTTCGCCTGTAAAATATTGATTTAATTGTTAATACAAAATGTCTATTTTCAAATATTCCTATGCACATACGACAGGCAAATATCAACGGGACTGAAGAATACTACTGTGCATAGATGACAACATAGATTTGCTCAATCGGTTCCGTATTCCAAATATGGGACCCAACGAAAAAAAAAATGCTCTAACGATATAATTTCTAGGGTCAGAATATAATCTCGTAAAAAAAGGATAAAGCTCTCGGCGTTGATCAATCCCTGAGGTATGCGCCGTGCATTCCGCTTCATTAACCATCGTTTGGAGTAAATTGAATGCATATCTTGCATTTACAGTGACTCGCGATGGCCTACCGATATAGTGACACAGTGCTGCTATCTTCCCAGACAAGTCTGGTACCAATATGTCGACCACGTACGGATGGAAGCCTTAGTGAGCCTGGAGCGCCGGAATCGATTCCGTGTATTGCAGGGCTCCTCCGACCACTGCGCCACACGTGCCCCTTACTTATTTATTTATTCTTATTAGGAAAAAAAAACTTTCCCACTTGAAGGAAAAGATCTCAAGATTATGACAGTTTGCTGCACAATCGGTAATGTTCATCATGAGCTGACATATATTTCAAAACACCGACTTTCTATAAACCTCAGCATAGATAGTTGATATTTTTATCTATATGATCTTATAAACTGATCTTCTTTAGCTGATGCGAGGCTGGTATAGGTCTTCATTGTCTTCGTCGTTGATGTTGTTGGTCGATGGTTGACGTTTCGGCGATTTCTCCTTCCTCAGAGCCTGGACGTATTTTATATAAGAATACTTTAATTACTCGGTAGAAAAAAATAGGTAAGCATAGGGCACAAAAGCACAATGGCGATGATTTTGAAGTGAATGTGCGGATCCTAGCGCAGGAATCGAAAACATCAACGCGCAAAACTCTTGAGGGGTTTCGGATAAATTTCAAAAATCCAAAGATGAACTGGAAAGGCGAATGCTTCCCTATCACACGTGACCTGACACCTTATTTCAAAATGATATTTTGACTCCTGGATGTGCCTCGCTCGCGACTCACGTGAACAACGCGTGGGCAGATCCCACCCGTAACATCACGGTGAGTAGCCTTTGTACCCAATATGGCGTATATTTAAAAGTTTCATTTTCATTAACACTTTAGCCCTTTTTCCACCGAATAATTAAAGTATTCTAATATAAAATACGTCCAGGCTCTGAGGAAGGCGAAATCGCCGAAACGTCAGCCATCGACAAACATCATCAACAACAACGACAACGAAGACCTATACCAGCCTCGTATCAGCTAAAGAACATCAGTTTATAAGATTATAAAAATAAATATGACATATATTTGTTTATAGTTGAAAGGTTTCATTTTCCATTCTTAGAACACGCGCGCAATGGACTGGCAAAATAGCTGAAACCAAAAACACAAAAAGCTCAAGAACATCTGGCATTGCGACGTGTTCGAGAGAAGCTTTAACAATGTACTGGCCCACTTTGACATCGTCTTCCACGCGATCTAACTCGGTATTCTTCTGGACCTCATCACCTATGGATTTTCCCGATCCAAACGTAGCCTCACCAACTTTCTCCAGACAGAGTGCCGGATACACCAATGCCGATTCTGAAGAAGTGTAGATAAAATAGGACCATCGATGACTATCATGAAAGTAATAATGTGTTAAAAATGAAGAGCAAGTTTTCTTTCTAAAACATAACTTATTTCATTGCAAACTTCTCCAATCCAACAAAGTACAGATTTGTACGATAGCGATCACCTGTGTCACCTGTGGTCCCGTTGATCGTCGAGTGACTCGAACGAGCGCCACTGAATCTTTCATTTTTCCCTTTCGCATCCAAAAGCAACCCAGCAGTTTCTGCTAGCTCTAGCGATAGTTGTAGGAACTTTGTGTCGAGAGAATGGAAGAGCCAACTAGCCAATTTCATTTTCATTATCTATCAATACTTACTCCATATTACCTAGGCACTTACCAACCACTCACTACCTACTGACTACTTACGTCCGTACTTACTTATAACACAGTAAGTAAAGGACTTGCCCCATCAATTGATTTTCATCATTTCTTGGTTGCATTTAGGAAGTACTATTGAAAAACTGTACAAAGAAGCACCAATTTACCCCAAAGTTATGAAGGTTAAAATAACCGTACATGGAACCAATACGTATCGTAGTCAATGCAACAGATTCGACGAAAAAGGATAAATCATTTTCCTTACTCTTAATGACCACGATTGATCGACCGCTTAGGAATCCGGTATGCATTCGACACCATTCGCAAAACCGTAGAGCTAACTGAGGATATATTTGGCCTATACAATGACTTGTAGGGCATACTGATGTGATAAGTACGCGTATTTTTCCACGTATATAAGTTTGCTACCAGCTCGTTAACACCGGAAGGATGAAGGGCTCAGATTGATCGAGGCCTGGAATCGAACCGAAGAACACGTGCGTATCGTAGAGCACATCTAACCGCGTCTACTCTTTCTTAATGGCAGGGTATATTGCGAAATATAACTTCAATGATGCTGCGATATTTGCAAAACACCGGACCGCAGATGTATGCGGTGGGGAACGAACGCGCTATTGCCCTTTCCGGGGAGTAACGCGTTCACCACCACACCATGCGTGCCCTTCGTGTTGCCTGTCTCTCAGCTAGTTTTATCGATCTTTACCACAGCAATCACCCGTCAGCGGGATTGATCTGGCGAGCCCAAATGGGCAACGAACCCAGTTAAGCTGAGGCTGTAGTTATAATCACAATTTTAACTGACGGGTGATTGCTGTGGCAAAGATCGATAGAACTAGCTGAGAGACAGGCGAAATGAAGGACTAGCATGGCGTGGTGGTGAACACCTTAGCCCCCGGAAAGGCTAATAGCGCGTTCGTTCCCCAACGCATACACCTGCGGTCCGGTGTTTTGCAAATATCGCAGCATCATTGAAGTAACAGGTTAATTCGATCGAAAAAAGAAATTAGGTTAATGACTAGATCGATTCCATGATGACTGAAAAGTTGTTCATTCTGCTGAAATATGGAGATGATCTACCTCTTAGAACGTCCAACATAAATCTTAGCGAGGTGGCGAACATAATCTCTGAAAGCATTTCGTCCTAATCGAGCCAAATCGATTAAAAAGCGCTACAAGTCAGGGATTGCTAGTTACATGTCAACAATGGCGAGTATATCTGAATCCGAAGTACTCGAATAAATGATATCCACTCGAATATTCGAGACCAAAATCCTAGCAGGTTTTGAACTGACTATGGAAGATCACTAAGAAGTGAAAGATGATTTCCTGGTTCAGGAAGAAAACAAAAGTCCCACAAAAACCAATGAAGTTCAAGAGATGTGATATTTGTGAATTGACTCAATCAGATACGAAGTAACTGTGAATGAAGGACGGAACGAACGAACTAATGAATGAATGATGATTAGAACATGACGAGGTGATATCAATTCGGGGAAGAATTCGAACGAACACAACGAGGTGGGAGTGACGGAGTGATCGGCGGCAGGAGAGAGCGGCGACACGCAGACATCGCCATATGGTGTAGTCAGTTTTCGACAAATCGGGTTTTTGAAAAGTGCACTCAAACAAAGAATGGACGGGGAAATCGAGGATGGACTCAGTGTATGAGACGAGTGGAAACAGAAGAGGTGGCTAGATGGTCAGGCCTGGAACGAATAAGCCGTGGTTCGACTCCTCTCAACACTAGTTCCTACCCAGTGCGGAGGCTCATGAGCTCCTTTGTCTAGATGATAGTTGCTGTTCAAAAGGAAAGGAAACATTCCACCTTGTCTGAATCTGATTCATGAATGTTGAGATCTGTTAGTTCTATTGAAATCAAAGCTGATGATATCGATCAAATGAAGAAGGACCTGCTGGAATTGTATTACAAGACGGGTGCTACTAAGAGAACTGTAGAATCCGATCCTGGTTCAGAAGTAGAAGCTAGACAACCTCTATCACCTGGTTCTGTTACATCATTGATGGATATAGGCAGAAAGCAGAAAAAGAAACAGAAGAATAGGTGTGACTGGCCCACAGTTGACAAACACACCAAAGGTGGTAAACTCGAAATCAGTGCCAATTAGTAGGAATACATTTCACTAAAACACGAGCACGACTCTCCTCTATACTGAAAAAGAAGTTGGTACAGACTCACTATTCGAGTTCTTCTCGCTTGCGGTTCTGGAGAACATCCTGGTAATTCTGAACGACTCCTCCGGTATCGTCGCACATTTCGGTGAAGCTGCAACAGAACCCTGAAAAAGCCGAGTCTGGAATCTTCTAGACTTCTTAACATGTCGCCGCTGCAGATGCGTTTGCATAGAAGAGTTCTGAAGTAACCAGCAAAAGAACTCAAAGCCCCGTAGGCATTCGACGGTCCGTGGGACTTTTGTGATATCTGCTAGTAACGGCCTGTTATTGTTATTCTACCAGTACACATTCTGATTATGAATGGGTAGTCTAGATGGGAACTTATTAGTAATCAGAACTGCATTTGGTTTCGGTTCGTTACCACAACTCCGGTAACTGACACCTAAAACGGCTATGGAATCGGTCTTCAGAGCTGAACATATGGCACGCACCTGATTCTTCTTTGTCTTCTTTTTTCTGTTTCTCAGCCCCATAACAAGTAGCCGGTGAAAATTCTGGAAAAGAACGACACTCGGCAAAAAACCTACAGAAAGGCGAATGACTATAGAAAAAGTTGACTTAAAATACAAATGACTGTGCTTAGGATAAAAACCACAATCATTAAGAGCAGATAGCAATAGGAAATCATACTAGGGCTTTCTTAGCGTTATCAGTGTTTCATAGATCACTGCACACTGGTCTACCGTATCTTGTCACCTCTTGCTCTCCGAAATAGCCCTTCTCAAAATACTCTTTTTCTCACGGCTTTTTGATTTGGCGATCAGTTTAAATAACCCAGACATTCTTAGTTTCGTAAGAGCTCAACATTATCTTTACTTTTGGCTGCTCGAAACTTCACCATTTCTAGTCGTGGCGATGTCTGGATTTGATCTAGAGCGACCTGACATGACCAGAGGAATCATGCACGCTTATTGTTCGTTTCCTTGATAGTTTCGGCACGTATTGGGATTTGGGAAGTCATTTAACAGATTAAGTAAAGGGATGTTTGTAGGACTATTTGCATCGATTTCAACGCATACTAATTCCGGTTGTCTATTTTGCCGCAGAGGTCATTTGGTAGTTTTCATTCTACCGATCGATAGCCTATCGAACACGGATGTTGCTTTGCGCGGTTCCAATTGGAAGCCGCACAAATTTACGCATAGTCGTGTACGAGTTGGAAATTGCTGTGGACAGTCCAAGGAACAAGAGCTTCCCAGGTTGACAATATTTAATTAAGTATTGGATAGGAGCCCTTATGGAGTACTAGAAGATGATCAGAGTAGTGGCAAAGATATTGCTGGGCAGGTTTTATTCCATAGAATAAAGGAGATGGGCGTGTGCAGCGTAGTGCTTAGTAATACCCCACAGTTGGCACAGCGTCACTACTGCCGTCACGCACTCGGGCCTAGTCAATCCTTCTATCACTCCGGGGTCAGCAAATTAGTACCGGACTTGTCTGGAAGGATAGCTGCACTTACTCGATACATCGATAGACGACCTTAAGTTATTGAATAAACCATATGTGCATTCATTCAGCTCTAACGACGCTTGATAAATTCGAATGCGCGGTCACCCTTTATTCAACGCACAGTTCTGTAGGCTCAATACTGAACTGTTCACTGCAAAAGGCTGTAACTTCATGTAGCAGTAGGACCACGAAACTGTAAAGGGGAAATACCCATTGAATCACCTTTTCTGCTACGAATGAAGTCGAAAACCTGGAGCATGACTAGGGGACCCAGGTCCAAACGTTTTATCCCTTGAAGAAAAAGAAGCGTTTTTATCCGAGGTTAAGAAACTTTGCAGAATCAGGGTTTCGTAAACTGTGGAAGTTTGACCGATAAAAGAATCTGCTGCATTCAACAACGTTAACCCAACGGTGGTTTTTCATAAAACTAATGGTAATTTTTCGATCACAAGGGTATTGGAAAAGTTCGAAATTTTATAGATTTATAGAAAATATTTTCATTCATTCCACAAAGCGGTAGTACGATTTTTTTAAACATTCTTTCAGCTTTGAAATTGTTTCGAATCCAAATTTTAAGACGAAGTTTCAAGTGTTAAGATACCCAACGAGAACTTGAACACCCAAAACACAGACCAGAAATTAGGCAACCCCACTGTAACCTAGTATCCCACTTGCCCCTTATTGCTTTCGGTGCTCGAAACATGAGGTTCGACGGAGAAATGAAAAAGTAAGCTCCACTGGCTTCACAACATCAAAACTTCATCATGGCAAAAGAAGAAGCTTGGACCTCGTTAGCAAAGATGTGCCGATTTTGATGTATGCTTTATTCTACGTTTATTGCGAGCAAAGTTATGCTAGTTTGAACTTGCAATCAGTCGTTGGTTTCGCATACAATGGATTTAAACCAATGCATTCCGATTGTTATGTGTCAATTCAGGTGTTTCAGACCGAATTGATGATGCCACACAAAATACTGTTCAAATAACGTTTGTGATGTATAATACCGTATGGTATGAATAGGGGCAAGATTAAACGATTCATGCGATATTGAAGTTTTCGCGGTCATTCTATTCAGCACAGACGAAAAGGCACACTGAATGGTATTGCCCAATTCTTAGGGAAATGTAGTGCAGATATAGCACCGCTTGACATTTTTCCAGAGAATAGAGCTCATTAGATAGATGGTAGTGGACACTGCAATATTGAGGTGTGTTAAAAAAGCTGGACTGTGTGCTCCATGCAAAACATAGATATTGATCCACTGCTGCAATTAGTCGAAACGGTTTCGACATTCTCTGAAGTAAAAAGTGTGCCTGGATTCCATCCAGTGGAATCTACAGATAAATGGAAAATGGAACACTAGCAGACACGATTACACTATTGTTCACGATAGCAAAGACTTCGGAAGTTTCGCCTTCTACAGAGCCTAATGAATACATTGGAGAAACGAGTAGATCACCTTCCACGCAAACAAAACACACACTAGGCACGTAAAGGACACGAGGGCATAACGGACAAGATATAAACTCCAAAAATCCATAAATGGCAAGGAGGAGTGTCTTGTGATCACGCGTGACCTCGTGCCATACCTCAGGCTGATTTTTATGACCTGAGCCAGGCACATTCCTGACCCACGTCAGAGGCTGTACGGATGGTCTCCATCCAACATTAATGGAGGACTTAAGAGTAAGAGGAGGAGGAGCAGCGAGTGTGTAAAAGAAGTTGTTTACTGCGCGAGTGAAATCAATGTATTGAACTATAGCAACTATGATGCTGAAAGATCTGCAAAACTTGTATGCCTTTCGCGTCATACCCTGCCGTGCAAAATAATGATAGACAGCAAGTAAAAAATTAACATCTATTTACTTACAATGTTATACCTTTTTATTTTCTGCCTACTATAATTTCGCGGCAGGGTACTAAACGAAATACAACCACAATGTTGCTGAGATATTTGCAAAACTCTGGACCGCAGCTGTCTATGGTGGGGAACGAACGCACTATTGTCCATTCCGGGGAGTAGCGCGTTTACCACCACACCATGCGGGTCCTTTGTTTCGCCTGTCTCTCAGCTATTTCTATTGATCTTTGCCACAGCAATCACCCGTCAGCGGGATTGATCTGGGACGCCTTAATCGGCATAGAACCCAGTTAAGCTGCGGCTGTAGTTGAAATCACAATGTTATACCTTTAGCGTTGTGGTGTGCCATTCTACCATCTATTTACTTAGTTTCTTTTTCCTCCAGAGTTGCGAAAATGCTCCGCTGAACAGATTGCGGGTCAGGTTGGGTCTTCCAGGCTCTGAAGAAGGCGAGATCGCCGAAACGTGAGCTATTCTGAATGAATGAATGCTGTAGTAACAACCTCGTGTCTGCTCCGCAAGATAGCAATAAATTGCTAATCAATAACAAGGTTAGTAGAAAGTCGGTCCTGGAAAACGAAACCAAATGCACTAAACCGAATTACTTTCTCAAGTATGCCTTTAGTAAGTGAGAATTCGAACGAACTTGTAGATGTATTTGGAACCTGTCAGCTGTCTACATGTGACACAGCATCGGTTACAGTTCTTTAGCAGTCAAAGACTGATGTGAAACCAGCTCACTTTTTGTGAACAGTTGATGAAAGTAAAGAAGAGACAAAGTGAGAGCCTTAATTGACAGAATGCAGTTTTTCGTTGAATTTACTATTGCCCCTAATGCCTAAAGCTGGTTTTCCGACAACTCAACATTATTTCGCCATTCTTTTGTAATTCATCGTATTTTTGTTGAGCAAACGCGAAGTGTTATTGTTCTTCATTCACGAATAAGCTGACGTTTCGGCGGATTTTGCCTTCCTCAGAGCCGCTTTCTATGAGGTTTCCACTAAGTATGTCACATAGCGACCAACCGCACAAAAATCACATGGAAGCATAATGTGCCAATTTCCATTCTTTCGTATTTGAAGAGTTGAGAACCTCATAGATTTCTAGGAGAAATCTTGCTCTATCACTGTAGGCTTGTGTATAATTTTGAAACATCCCTAGAATTAGAGTTCTTAAAAATTGAAAAGGAAGATTATAACCACAATGATGCTGAGATATTTGCAAAACTCCTAATCGCAGGTGTCTGCGGTGTGGAACGAACGCGCTATTATCCTTTCTGGGAGCTGACGCGTTCACCACCACACCATGCGAGTCCTTCGTTTCACCTCTCTCAACTACTTCTATTGACCTGCGCCGTCAGCAGTCATCTGTCAACGAGATTGATCTAGGGAACATCGTTATGGTTGTATCACACGTAATACCCTGCCATGAAAAATTGTAGTAGGCAGTAAATAAAAAGTTAACATCGTGATTTCGACTACAGCCCCAGCTTAACTGGGGTCATTGCCGGTTTGGGCTCCCAGATCAATCCCGTTGACGGGTGATTACTGATGGTAAGTGATCGATAGAACTAGCTGAGAGACAGGTGAAACAAACGACCTGCGTGGCGTGGTGGCGAACGG